TGAGAAAATAAATCAGTACCGAAAACCGAAAACTGATCAATATTTAATTTATTCATCAAATTATCGCGGATAAATGAACGATTCGTATGAATTTTTTTTCTTATAGAGAAATGAAAGAGTAAATCAGTACCGAAAATCGAATATCGATTAATACCATAAATCAGTGTCAAAAAATTGTTCAAGTGCAATGACAATTTGTTCTCATTTTTCAAATACTTATCTCTCTAATCTTATTCAACAAATTAACTGGGATAAACGAACGATTCGTATCAATTTTTTTGTCTTATAAAAAAAATGAGAAAATAAATCAGTGCCGAAAATCGAAGACTGATCAATACCATAAATCAATGTCAAGAAAATTGTCCAAGTGCAAAGACAAGTTGTTCTTATCTTGCAGGTACTTACCCCACTAATTTACTCAACAAATTAAGTCAGATAAAAGAGCGATTCGTATCAATTTTTGTTCTCTCATAAAGAAATTAGAGAATCAGTCAATACCGAAAATTGAAGACCGATTAATACTTAATTTATTCATCAAATTAACGCGGAAATGAACGAATCGTATGAATTTTGTTTTTCTTATAGAGAAATGAAAGAGTAAATCAGTACCGAAAATCGAATATCGATCAATACAATAAATCAGTGTCAGAAAATTGTCCAAGTACAATGACATTTGTTCTCATTTTTCAGGTATTTATCCCTCTAATTTACTTCACAAATTAACTCAAATAAACGAATGATTCGTACCAATTTTTCTTGTCTTATAAAGAAATGAGAGAATAAGTCAGTACCGAAAATTGAAGACCGATCAATATTTAATTTATTCATCAAATTAACGCGGATAAATGAACGAGTCGTGTCAATTTTTTTCTTGTGGAAAAATGAAAGAGTAAATCAGTACCGAATATCGATCAATACCAGAAATCAGTGTCAGTAGATTGTCCAAGTGCAATGACAATTCGTTCTCATTTCTCAGGTACTTACCCCTCTAATTTATTCAACAAATTAACTCGGATATATAAACGAACGATTCGTATTAATTTTTTCTTCTCTTATAGAGAAATGAGGAAGTAAATCAGTACCGGAAATCGAATATCGATTAATATCGTAAATCAAAATTTATATTGCTGTTTAATTCCATCGTCGCAAAAGATTTGACATTTTCTCTATCCTAGTCCTAACTTGTAGAAAATTTGGTACTCATCTCTATTTGACAAAAGTACGTCGGACTTTCTGTACTAATATAAAAAATTTTTTTTCATTCTCATTTTTTCTACGTCTAATATTTTAATACCGAATCTATCGAAATGAACCGGTCTGCAGAAATCCTGGTAAGACGTTTCTCTCTCTTTCTCGCTCTCCTCTCTCTTCATCTCTGAATCACCGCTAACGATCGAAAACCGCAAGCGGAAAGTAACGAAAATTTATTCATCCAACTAAAACGTTCTCCGTGTTATTTTTTAAGCGTTAGATAAATACCGATCCGGCGTTTTGCCAAATATCTAACAAAAGTATCTCCGTTTTTTTCTTGCCGACATTCAAATCGATAGTTTTCTACAAGTTAGGATTTGATAACAAAAAAGTCTCTCCCGAGTCGAAATATTAATTCTACATTGATCCTGCAAATTGCATCCAATTTGAAAAATCAATACAGAATATCTAGATGCGCAATAGTGAACAAGCTTTGTCCTACCTGAACGTTACATCTGGCTACTCTCGCAGTCTCGCCCATGATAAGTCTTCAACAGCGACGTATTCCGTAGTTATTTAATACTCGTTTATCTCGATAATGTATATGTACTTAATCCTTATATTCTTAATTTAAATGAGCAATTTTTGTTGATGTTGATATATTCGCTTAACAGCGCAAGAAAGAGAACAAAGATAAAAATGTAAATAGAACTGCCTTTATTAGAACTGCGCGTGAGATAAATATATAAGGATTAAATAATCATATAAGAATTAGAGGAAATGGGAGATGGAAAACACTTGTTATTCTCATCATTCTTAAAGTTCTTTTTTTCCTTTTTTCTTCTCTTTTTTTTCTTTTCTTTTTTCTAATGAAAATGATGAGAATTGTAGCTCTTAAAAGAGCTGAAGCTGCAAAGGCAAAGACAACAGTTATGTCTAATAATGCTGTTTCACTAATAGAGATTTTAATTCAGATTCGGTACAATAAGAAAGATAAACAAGAATGAGAAACGGACATCTTCTAGCAGATTCTAAACGAAAACAGCAATCTGAGCATTATTAGACGAATAAAAATCAACACTTGTAAAATTTACATCAGATTCTAAGATCATTATTCATAGTTTTCTAAATTATATGCAACTTTTTATTGAGAACATAATTAAAAATTTGTATTCATAAACCTTAGCTTGCCTTAGCAACCTTGCTTGAATAAACATTCATATTTTATGAGAAAAGAAAAGTAGAACTCATGTTACGTGAAATTAGGTTAATGAATAATCAAATCTCAAGTTATTTTATCATTTTTCAGATGATAAACTATGAATGCTGATTTAATTTCGACTCGGGTATGTCCTTACTTCGAGTAAGGTACGTTAAAATCAGAAAAATCCTGCGTAATAATAATTACTCGAGGTACCTCGAATACCTGATGTATCGCTGTCCACGTCTCTCGGCGCGCTCCAAGTCCTCTCTCCATCCTGACTTCTCGATCCGACATCCTCCTTCTGGTTACTCCGTCGCAACACCCACGGATACTTCATCGTAGCACTAGCGACGACACTGACTCTAGCTCTAACACTCGCGCAAGTAAGATTCGGACAAAGAAACGCGTATTAACCGATACGACTACCGACACTCGTACTCTGCGTCGCGGTATGCGCGTCGTTCGTCGGCCCGAGGCGCAATGTCCTTTCCGCAATCACGGAGTCATATATAAGCGTACGAAACCAAACAATCGGGAAGGCACGGTTACCCCCCAACTTGCCGATCAGTGTTGATGCCTGCGTCGTCCGTTAGCCGAAAATGAAAACAACTCGTGTTTTCAAAGCATGCCTGTGAGAGACTTCAAACTTCACAATAGTTATTTACGTCTGTTCCAAGAATCATATTACGCCAAATTCAAACTGTCTCTATTGACATGACATACACGAGATCTGCGATCGCATCATTGATCTTTCTTTGGACAAGAAAATCCTGAGAGGAACGCTGTTCGAGAATATCGCATTTATGTTTCAGGTGCCTTGCAGATTATCGAATCCGATGTAATAGATCAGGGAAAGTATGAATGCGTCGCTATGAATAACACCGTGGGCACGGAGTACTCCAAGTCAATCACGTTATACGTGAAACGTACGTCTATTTAATTATTATTATTAACATCCACACACCCGAGTCGAGACGTGCGAGTGTACATTTATTTTCTAGCTTAATTAACGAGTACACAGTCTCAGTGTTCTCGCAAGAGAGAAAATGTAATTTACGTTGTATCTTATTAGACGCACCGTTGGAAAAACAAAAGAATACGGACGAGGAGGGGTCACATCCGAAGAAAAGTTAGCGGCTTTTTAAAACGTCTCAAACCAGACAACGTGTTTGTAGATGAAATAACGAGTGCGGCGCATACTCGTCGCTCGCGCAGAACCACGTCAATGCCGTAAACGTAGGTGTTTTCCTGCTCGTAATTACGAGCAAAATTAATGTAACGCAATTAGGACGTAATTAAACTAAAGGACTCGCGCGACTCACGTCGCGCTCGTTACATCGTCAACACTTGTCGTTTCTTGCGTTTTTGCGGCAAGATCTCGAATGTCGACTGCTCGCATTTGTGATTTAATTGCCGTGACCGCGATTTGCTAAATCCCCAAGCCCCCTTTGAAACGATCGAGCGCCGAGTTTTGTCACACTCGGCGAGTTTTCGCGCACGGCGCGCGGCAGTTAATTTACGATCGTAAAACGTACGTACGTGCGTGCATAATTATTCCCTAATTGGACGCGCAGTTACGTATTTGCATTTCGATTTAATGTCAGTCGTAAATAAACAAACGCGGTCACACGGGTTCAATCATAACGTAATATATATATATATATATGTAATATATATATATATTTTTTTTTTGGAAGCTTTGTTTCGCGTCTCACGCGTGTCTACGATATATTCCCTATAATATATATATATATATATATATATATATATATATATATATATATATATATATATATATATTATAGGGAATATATATATATATTATAGGAAATATATCGTGAACGCGCGCGAGACGCGAAACAAAGCTTCCAAAATATTTAGAGAAGGAAACAACCCAGTCGACACAGAACATTATATTTATGTTAAAATTCACTCAACAATATAAATGTAATATAACACACATGGTGTTGAGTGCGAAATTTTAATATAAATGTAATGTAACTAATGCTCTGTGTCGACTGGGAATTACCGCCTGCTCTTGTTACGAATTACGAATGTAACAAGAGATAATAATTCGAATAATAATTAGAAGATGCAATTTTTTACAAAAATATGTATAGAAATGTATATGTACAGAAAAAGAATCATGTGCTGTTGAACGAGGTGTAAGTTTATGCGCGATGCCATGTTTCTCAAATCAAACCCGCAATTATAGGCGTACCACAGACACGAACCGCCAGTAAATGGGCGTAGAATGGGCACGCACCAAATAGAGACTTTACCGGCAGCGTCTGCAAATGGGCGTAGTCAACGTAGTTCCCGGCTACAAATGGGCGCAGGTGGCGTTAAAATCAGTCATCAAAATGCATGTCGCCAAAAACGCCGGCGTGGCCGCTCTCAGGCTTCTCTCTCTGTCCCAACACAGCAATACAGGCTGCATTCCAATATTCACTGCCAGTACTGAAAATCTATAGTATACGTGACACAAACTATGTATTTTCAGTACTGGCAGTGAATTTCGGAACGCAGCCACAGTAGTCACAATACGGTTGAACACAGCCAATAGAGTTGGTTGGTTAGGTTAGGTTAGGTTAGGTTAAGGTTAGATTAAATTTGAGTAAGATTATTGGTTATGTCCGATCACAAAACGTGGTCAATCGCCTTTTGTGCTGCGCGTTCTCTCTCGCACATAGGCACAAAACAGAGTGTATCCTTTTCTACGTGAGGTCTATCTTGAAATTTGAGAGAACGCTCGATAACGTTCAGGAAGACGAGCTTTAACGGACGAGTGTACCGTTGCGATACGTGATGGTGGAGAACGAAGAACGAAGAAGAGAAGGCTTTCAAGGCTGATACACACGTCTGAAGTAGAGAACGAAGAGCGAAGGAGAGAAGGCTAGTTTTGAGGCAAATATACACGTCTGAGCTCCTGCGTAACGTTAAAATACCGCTCCGATAAAAAATATCGCTCGGTAGAGACGGCTCATACGTTAAGCGTTTCATAACGAAGAGGAAGAATACCGCCAAGATACACCACGTGTGCACAGCGTGCACATGTGTGTACTGCCCTCGTGTAAACAGAAAGGTAATTCCGGCGAGCGTTCTATGTCACGGAGAAATGGCGAGGCTTAGCACGTACTACACGTTGTGCCCGCTCATCAACCAGCAGGATTTACTGGGCGTCGAACAGGACAAGGAATCGGGTCGGGCGATAGTGACACTCGGCCGGCACATGGTGATACGATACAAGGTTAGGCTCGCTGACCTTTTCAGAGACGAATTTGTTGAAATTACCGGAAGATTGGATAGCAGAAGGGTTGTATATCTCTTCGATCTGAATGTGTGTTATAAAGGGGGTGAAGTTTTGAGTAATCGTATTCTGTGAGGGTTACATGTATAATTTCAGAGATGTGTCACTTAAAAGTTCTGTAATTTGAACTTGTGCAAATGCGTCTTGAAAATATATTTTTGGGACTACCTTGGATCCCCACATAGTTTAAAGTTAAAACAGATGACTTAAAATTTTATTCTTTGTAATATATTGGGATCAAAGAAAAATTATTTGTTTTTAAAATAACATAGTTGATAAGACTTTTGTCAGTTACATGATGAGATCTTTCGATTGTGAAATTTTGTGATGAATATTTGTGCACGATGCTGTTTGTTACATCTTTGTTAGCAATGTGTGATATGAAAAAGGAAAATATTGAACTTATCTAAATATGCATATGTCAAGTATCCTTGAAGAAGTTAACCAAAACTAAAAATAAATGTGTTATCTTGATAAAATCTGTACGCATTAGTTGCAGGACCTGAAGCAGTTTAGCAGTTGGTCCAGCGAGGAGAAATTAACGTCGCAGGTGATTTATGATAAGTCGAATCAGCGTTATGCAGCAGTCTTTAAGGAGAAGAAGATAAAGGTCTGGTCAGAGGAGGAGGCAGACTTGAATGAGGTGAAAGGGTACAAGTTTCATTTAGCATTGCACACTATTCTCACGCACGATGAACTGCCGCCCGTTCTAGTCCAGCAGAATGGAGCTGCGGCCTCCTTGAGCTGGGCGATTGCAAACAGAAAATCATGGGCCAGCGAAGGTATACTAAAGGACAAGGAGAAATTGTCGCACTGTCAATTGATACATCTGAACAAGAAGACAAGTTTATGTTGCTTGACAAGGATAGAAGACACATATAACTGCTTAGTTGTCAAATTAACGAAGAATACCTGCCTGGAGAAGGTGGATACTATCAAGAGGATCAAACTGAAACGAGAATTAGAGGATCTGGTGGGGCACACAGTGATAGAGAGCACGAACAATGCGTATCTGTTAACTTTATGTTAGTAAGATCAATCGTTACGATCGCGTGTTTTATTTCTTTGTCGCTTTTTTATATTTTCTTTATCCCTTCGTTCTCGTACAATTGCTCTGTTCTTCTCATTGTGAACAATTGTACTGATTTCTTGTGTTGCACTGATAAATATATCCGTTTCTCTTATAGACGATGCTTCTAATTTCGCAGGGTCGCACGGCAGATTGTTCAGTCACTTCTTGAGCGGGAAGTCGTCCGGCCCAGAAAATAGCACACTCATCAGTGTAATAACCAACATCAACACAAAGCATCCCGTGATGATGACGCACCTGAACGAGACGACCATAGCAATTTACGGCGCCGACGTGACAGATGAGGGCGCGGTACTCATGATATACAATGTCCAGTACAAACTGACGCAAGCGGTGCTGAAGCTCAAGCTCTACACGAACGACGCGAAGCTCTGGAAGGTGGAGGACAAGTTGTTTTTGGCAGCCAACAGGCATTTGGCCATCGCGCCGTACAATCTCGCGCCGCAAAGAATAGCTGCCATGTTGGGCTCGTCGGTAAGCTGCAAGAACAGCGTGAACGACAACGACGCGGACATCATTGTCGTGCAGGAGACTACGGTGGCTCAGTGGGACAAGAGCAGAACGTGCGAGAAGAGCAAATCCTTGGGCCGAGTACCTTCGAAGATCTCCAAGCAGATCTCTATGTATCTAAATGAAGGGTGGAGTAATAGTGCGATATTCGAGGCGGTGCTTCCACCGTTGATCGAGTCTGGCGACATCTCGTCAATCTGCTGGTGTCTCAACACGTTCAAAGACCTGCCAGAGAAGCTGCTGGTGGACCTCTTGGCGTTCTCGCTGAAATGTCCGGACAAGGTATTAGTCCCGCCTCAGAACGGTGTGATCGACGGCGCGTCCATTCCGCCCGCCAGCTATCTGTGCTCTAGGAACAGTTTTCAGGACAAAGTGTTTAGCTTAGATTACTGTAGCGCTTCCATCCTGCCGTATTTGAACGCCAATTTAGACTTCGACGAGGTGATCAAGCTACTAGAATACGTAACAAACAAGCTGGACGACAAGACGGATTCATTGGACGAGAACCCGCAGCCGAGTGAGCGGCAGTTGTACGAGTGGTGTAATGTGCTTCTAGACTCTCACCAGCAGCAGTACTTCCTGTCGCAAGACGGCCATGTGCTGGAACTTTTCAATCGGCTGAGCAAGATCGTGAGAGAACACGTGAGTGTCGGAGCGACATTCTTTACGCAATCGTCGCGTCTTCTGTGTTATAATGGAAATTGTTTTTCTCTTCTCCAGGCCCAGTTTCTGCAAAACCTCGAGGACCTCAGGTCTATTCTGGGGAGGATGATGCACGGGAAAGCGTTGCGGTCCTCGACGAAAAAGAACAACAAGTTTTACGCTACAGATACAATAAAATTTCATTAAATCACAAAGCAAAATTGAGAAACGTGTGTCTTTCATTTCGCGGAGACGGTCGGAGAGATGCTTGGTTGCCGACTCGACGCCGCTCACGAGAGAATGTAAGATAATTTTCAACATCTTAACGTCTTTATTCCACGTTTCTTCTCCGTATATTCTAGGCGGACGAGTATCCCGAGGATACTCCGCGCTGTATACAAGCTCTACAATTATCTTTAAATTAACATCGAAATTCGGCTTTCCTCGCACGCCGATGAACGTGCACATCTCTGGACTATGAACATGAGGTTGAGGAATCAGCGGCTCACCGCTTAGATAGAATGTTCAAAGTCTCATATCTAATTTAGCTGATCGACGTGTGGAACGGTGCTTAGATCGCCGATCGCGGCCATGGACAGTTTCCCGCTGCTGACTTTTCCGGCGACCTGAAAGCGAAGAGACATCAATTTTACATACACCTATATTTGCGCGCGCGAAGGAACAGATATTTGGGTATTTTATCGAGTGAAAGGAGGGGGCAAAACCTACTCACCGACTTCACGTCAGACACACTAATCTTGTCCACTTCCGCAACAAGATCGGCCGGCTTGTACACGCGACCCTTGAAGAGCGCCTGCTGACCCAAGTTCTCCAGTAACATAGCGCAGTCGTCCGCGGCGTACAGTATCTCCGCCTTCAATATAGCCTTGCCGCGAGCGATGTCTGCGTCGGAGATTTTTGGCGACTTCAGGTATGAGGCGGCAGCTTTCGTCACCTACAAAGGAGAAAAATGTGGAAGCAAAGCTCTTTGAGAATCGGCGAGGAAGAAAACTGATAACAGATAACTCAAGATTTCTCTGCAAGGTCGTGGAAATGAAATAAAGGATTTCCACTGGCGCAAAGACTACTTCAACAAGCAACAAATAACCGTGATATTAACATGACCAAATTATTAAAGAGAAAGAAAGGAGGTGTGTTGCGTGTTGTGTAAATTTCACGGTTGTTTATCACTTGTTAGAGCAAAAGGAAAATTTTCAAAAAATGTTCACAGCATCTTAAAGGATGTTCAACCGCCATTTTACGGATTTTATTTCCAATAATCCGTAGGGATTTTTAGCATAGATTCCTGTTTCTTCATGTCATCAATAAAAGTTCATCTACGAGAAACTGAGAACTTTGAGAGATAAAATTTTTCTCGTGTGAAGGTCAGCTCATCAAGACAAAAGAAGCCTTCGATCATTTCACAATTATTGAGATATTAAGGGAGAAATTACATGCGGAAAGTCGTTTTCGAGGCTATTTTTACGAATTTTTTTTTAACAGAAACGGTAAGATGAATGGACTTGAAATTTTTGCAGTATATTCATTAATGTTCAAAGTATAAAATAAATTTTACTGAATCACAAAAATCGATCCAATTTGTAATTATAGATAAAAATGTCAAATAAATTAAATAATATAATATTATAGATAATTATAAAGTATACACACGGAGAAAAGACGTGGAATAAAGATATTAGGACGTTGAATTAGATAAATAGATAATTATAGATAAAAATGCCAGAAGATAAAAAAGCCTTCCGTTTGCGAGCTCCATGTTTGCTATTGACATAATTCTGGGCCTCTCTCACTACTCTGAAGCCAAAAACCAAGACAGATTTTTAAAATATACAGTTGCCGTTATAGCCCATACCAAAATGAAGGCAGCGAAGCCAAGTTTGGAAAAATAATGACTGTACAAAAAAAAAGTATCGAAAATGAAACTTTTCTCAACTTGTAATCATGTTGTAAAAAAAATGAATAAAATAATATATAACTATGTTCGAGGTAGGAGCGAAAACTACATGTCTACTGTATACTGTGTAAAAATTTCAAGTTATTCGGTTCAGTAATTTTTGCGTAATCGTGTCGACAGTTTAAAGAAAATGGTGTTTCCAAATAAACGTGTTTAAAGTTTTATACGTACTTTCCATATAGATAGTAACAAATTTATTTTATACCTTGAACATTAATGAATACGCCGTGAAAATTTCAAGTCCATTGATCCCACTGTTTGTTAAAAAAATTCGTAAAAATAGCCTTGAAAACGGCCTGCTCTGCATATAATTCCCCTCTTAAGCCAAGAGAATGGATAAGAAGAAACAGGCTCTTCTGGTAAGAATTTGACTTCCCGGTTGAAACCGCGCGTTTTGCAGATTTCCTGATACTTCAACCCATTCCGTCAAAGAGCTGTGCGACCCGACCAAATGAAAAGAAACGTTGCAGCTGGATCCAGTGTTGATAATTTGTACCAAACACCAGACGAAAGAGAACTTACGGAGCCGGCGACGCTGGGCATCGAGCACATGATGAAGCCGAACAAGCCAGAGTCGCTGTAGCTGGCGTTGAACGCCGAGATGGCGAACTGGTCGGCGCTGGCTGCGCTGGAAACCTGCCTCTGGAGAGGAGACGTGCTAGAGCCCCACTTCACCCGGGGCCCGTCGCTGCCGACTGTTCTCTGCAGCACGGCGTAAGCGAGAACGTCCTTCTCTTTGTTCAGGCCGGTGCCTTCTACAGCCACCGCCACAGTCGCCAACTCGGACGTCCGCTCCTTGCGGAGGTCCCCTCCGTGGTACTTGCTGGCTTCTGGAGCCTTGTCGCTGGAAGCCACTTTCAGACTCGTCGCGAACTCCGCGACGCTCGACAGAGGCACGCCCGTGGCCACGACCGCGCAGTTGGAGCCGGTGAACCAGGTGTTGACGAAGTGTTGAAGCTAGAGAGGAAAGAGAACTTTGCTGGTAATGTGGCAAGTGTCGGCTCCTCAATGAACGCACACGGTCAATGCACATACGGTTTCTGTGTTGATCCGGCCGAGTTGCCTCTTCGGTGAATATAAAGAATAGCCGAGCCCGGTGCGATACGCCGCCTTGTGCAGCAGTTCCATGATCCGGGTTGTTTCGGGCACGGTGGACAACTCGTAGCGTAGCCTGGGCAGTTGGTCGGATAGCTCCCAAGGCTTGAACACTTGTTGGGTGGCGACGTCCTCCAAGAAGGTTAAAGCGTTGTTTCTGTTGCGGAGCGCGAGTGTTGAGTTTATCGAGAAGGACGAGACCAGGTTCTTTTAACGAAAGTCTCTAGGCTTGGATTGGAGCGCGTGAGAATCCACTTACAATTTGTCCCTTGTAATTTGCAAGGTGTAAGCGATGCTCTCGCGATCCGTAGTGGCGGTCAAGTTCCCACCGAGCTGTTGGATGTTCCTGGTTATGCCGAAAACGGATGATCTGCAGGTGCTCAGGCCAGCGCAGATACGGAGGTGATGTGCCACGCCTTGTGTCTCGTAGGTCTCATTGCGTGAGCCAGCTCTGCGAGTGTGAAAAGTGACTTGAAAAAAATTGCTTTGTATCAGGTGACTTTTGGGTGACTTTCAACAAGTTGATTAATTCAATCAGTGGCCAGAACTGCTGTCAGCTGAGTATCACTTGCTCCATTTTGCTCCAACGCAAATAGAAATAACTGATTTTTTGGTCCTTGTTGGATAACAAGTTACATAACTGAAAACCGGTGCTGGCAATTCTTATTATTGTTCAACAAATCAGAGTTTGTTAAAAGCGACAGATATGTACTTTATTTTTACAGATATGTCATTTTTGCATGCACAAACTTGAAGACAGTGATTTTCAACAAACTGATTAATCTAATCAACAATCTAAAGTCGTTGCTGGTCAGGCCTCACTTGTTCTACCTTGCCAACACAGCGATAAAACTTGATCGCAGAACGACGACTTATGTAACTCTAATTTGACCTTGATCAAAGTTACCCTTGCAAATATCTCATTTGTATAAACAACACATTTATATTATTTACTGTTTCACACGTATACCTGAAGATGACTGACACTTGGGCGATAGGATTATTATTATTGATCGTAGCAACAGTCACTTTATTGCTAGACAACACCTGAAGCTCAGGGACCGCTGCGCTGGAGCACTGAGTTGCAGCGGCAGCTGCATAATGCCTCACCTGAAATGACACGGGCATCAGGAAAATACATTTCATCTGCTTGTTGAACAATCTGAGGAAACGTGTGCAAGTGGAAATCACTGTGCGATCTCCACTTGCACAAAATAGACGAACATATTTTCTCAGCAAGGAGCAGTGGGGTCACAGGTAAAACAGGATATCAGAAACCTACGGCTACGTGCAGGCTGATTTCCGAGCACGATTTCGCGTCTCGTCGAGAAGACAAACGCGGTACAAACGAAGAAACCGCAAGACCGCTCGAGACATCTCAATAGCCGCAAGGTTAACACATACCGTACGCTAGCGATTTACATAACACCCGCGTTACGAGCAAAGTCAATGGTGAGACGACGGAGTATCTGCAGGAGAGACACGCGATCGGTGGCATGGGATCATTGATGGGATCCGTCATACCGTAGGGCTACGAAGGACAGGCGACCGGACAGCGGAGCAAGCCATTTCTCGTGTCTTCAGCAGAAGCAGAAGAGCTGATCGGACAGGCGTAGACGGCCGACACGGCGCCATTAGCTGTGCGAGAGGCGACGACCAATCTGAGCGCCGTCCGACAATTCGGCGCACAGTGTCAAATTCTCTCAGGAGTTGATCTTCTCACAAAGCGAGGAAGTACCTCCGAAGGTCGGGAAATCTTTACTTTTCGCGAGTTCACTGTTGAAGAGAAGATTCCTGGTTGGAAACAACCGGACTCTTTGGAAAAGCAAAAATATTACGCTCGCGATTTTACTCTATTTTACGTGCTAATTTATATGTAATTATTGTGCAACTGTAATATCTCTCGCAATTGTTTGAAAATAATCTCTCTCTCTCTCTCTCTCTCTCTCGCTTTTTGGAATAATCTCTTTCGAAAATAAAGGCATTTTCCGACGAGGGACACGAAGTTGTTTCATCGGTTGCATCGACATCGTCGATTACAATCGAATAATTTGAATGATTTTGCAATAAACTTTACCTACTGGTGTTAAATGTCTATTTAACAATTTATATTATTTTTATTTATCTTTGTTAAATTTATTTTGTGAACTTAAAGATTTTAATCGAGACTCGAACCATCCTTTACCGACTTCCATAGAATTGTGAACCAGATGATTTTTGTAAGCTTCAGTCTTGCATTCGACAGTACTCTTCAAGTTACATAAGATGGCGCCACCCTCGAATATTTTCCTGCAATATTGGCACTTCACTTGAAAGCGAGACCCCATGCGCAATTTTCGACCAGTTATTGGAGAAATGACATCAGTGATGTATTAACCCTCTATGGGCCGAATTTTTGTTTTAAATATAAAAAAGTTTATGGAACGGAAAATCAACAATTATAAATCTATATATGCAGATTTGCCAGTTTGAACAATTTATATTATTATTGTTATTATTATTATTGTTATTGTTATTGTTATTATTATTATTGTTATTATTGTTATTATTGTTATTTGTTAGATCCTTACATTTAGACCAATAACGTTGACGAATTATTCAACAGTTGCTCAACCGTTGAGTGTCGTGAACCCATCCATTTTCTTCCCGTTTGAACTAACTTGAAGGGCTGCGTTCGAAAATGTCACTCGGGTACATCTGCTGCGTTGGTGTGAGAGAGACATAAAAATGAGATAAAAAAGAGAGATCCGAGTGACGTTTCCAAAAACGCAGCCAAGAAAGCAAGCGCGATAGAGGTTGATTGTGATTAGAAGTTCATTGATGTGCTGAAACTGTGCGTGCTGGTGTTTGTAGTGCAGATAAGTCATGCCGAAAGTACGACGAAGCAAGAAACCACCTCCCGATGGTTGGGAACTGATTGAACCTACTCTGGAAGAATTGGAACAGAAGATGCGCGAAGGTAAGTTTGCGAGGTTAACCGCCTCATATTGATATTCAAAGAGACTTGGTAAGAATACCTGAAGAAATGTCGTTCACTTGGTTACAGCTGAGACAGAACCTCACGAGGGTAAAAGGAAACAAGAGTCCTTGTGGCCAATATTCAAGATACATCATCAGAAATCTCGTTACATTTACGATTTGTTTTACAGAAGGAAAGCGATCAGTCGCGGTAAGTTGAACCCGATCGTCGTCCATCTATTTCTGATCGACAATATAAAAATATAGTGACCGGATTTCCCGGTTCCAAATTCGGACACTTTAAATGCTGAGGAGTAAGGAAAAGAGAGTGAAAAATCGTTGGAAATATCTACTTTATATGGACTTTTGGAAAATAATATCATTGCAGCGAAAACTTATTGTATGAGATAAAAATGGAGAATATTACTAATCAAACTGTAGTCGTTCTTAAAAAATTTCTATATATTTGAAAAGTGTGTGATTGCTGCCTCAATTACTGGACAATCACAATTAACCTCTTGCACCTCTTTCTAACCCATCTTCTCTGTGTCTTCACTTCAGAATTGTACGACTACTGCTTGAACGAGAACATAGCGGACAAAAACCTGATAGCCAAGTGGAAGAAGGTTGGCTATGAAAATTTGTGTTGCCTGAGATGCATCCAAACAAGAGACACAAATTTCGGCACAAATTGCATCTGCAGGGTGCCAAAAGGCAAACTGGAGGAAGGTCGTATCGTGGAGTGTATACATTGTGGTTGCAGAGGGTGTTCAGGTTGAATGCTAGAGCAGAGGATTCTGAAGAACCGGATGACCTTGCATAAGGCACTTGATCTTTTTTATTGCTGCAATCTTACATCGATATCTCACATAGTCCATAATAAAAATAAGTCTTGTTGATACGTGTCTCATCGCCTTCACTTGATCATCAAGTTCCACTTTTTGTACTCTGTGAATCGGGCGGCAAAGTACAGCGGGGTCCGCACACGCCAGTCATATGTGACGCATTTATTTTCAGACTCGATATTCATCCGCAACACATGAGCATTCTTTCGCAAAGCAGAGATCGTAATGTCTGTACCGAAGCGCATCCTCGGCAAACGCATCAGCTTCTCGTCACCATCCATGAAGATCTTACCCCGAGGCGTTATCATAAGAGAAGATCGTCTCTTCAAGGTGTCATTGCTGCCCCGTGGCTCATGGACTAGCGCGATGCCCTCGTCATCATTCGCCTCTTGCGAAGCTTCTAAAAACTTTACCATACGTTGAACCATACGTGCGCCGGCGAAAATGCAGTCGGTTACGTCATCTCATGTCGCGTAATTACCTTAAATTCAATTACGTGATTCGCATCGAACTGAGGGCCGCGCGAGAACAGTGTGCTTATGGTGTCTGTGAGCTTGGCCGCTATCATGCCGTTATTGGTGATGACGTAATCCTTGTTGTCGAGTTCCCAGCCTGCGATTGTTCGAAGCAACGTTTTATTACTATTAACTCTGCGAACGACAGCATCAAACAATGCGAAACGATCTTGTAAATTGTAAGCAATTCGCAATCGAACTCTCCTTCGATTGAACCTAGCATTGTGCCAAGTTCGAAGTGTATTCTGTAACTTGTAAATACCTTGAAGAAAACGTATTTTTCGTACACAGCTTGTACGTATTCGATTCTTGCTACTCACCGTACGGCGGTATGGAGGTCCGTGTGACGTGATGCATGCTCTTGGCGTTGTTGTCCGACTGTAGCCGGACCCTGAGCGTGACCGGCTGGTTGAGAGGCATGTTCCTGATGAAGCAGGAAGTCTCGGAGCCCCGATACACAGTCTCGAAGGCGCTAGACGCCGGCTCGAGGACCTCGCCATTTGCCTTCTCCACGATGAACGTCTGCTCCTCGATGGTGTACTCCGGGTCGGTCACGTGCCACTTCATGAAGAAGCCCGCTGGTCTCTCCTCGATGCTGATTATCTGAACCGGCACCGTTCGCGATATGCAGCCGAACTTTGAGATGTGCTCGATGATCTCTTCCTTGTACAGGTTCAGCGGTCGATTGAAACATATATTCGGTAGCTCCTCGGAGTACGGTACCGCCGGTATCCTGACGTGTAAAAAAATAACGTTAGTGATGTCAACCGTGGGAGACATGATGATATCGGGACTACCATCAGCGGACTTTTGGGAAATGGGCGTGATCGGTGGATCTAAGAGTGGTGTTGGACGTCGGTCGATTTTGGTGACTATCAGGTTGGTCAGGAAGTCTCTTCATATTTTATGCAAGAAGGGAAAAATTATTTTTCACGAAAAGCGCTTTTATTTTCATCATCAATATAGTCTCCGATATTGACTTCTCTTCACGCCATCATCTTTCACTCCTGTTTTATTCTGTCAGCGGGTAACTGAAGGCTCCCTCTCTTCCGCACTAACATATCATTATTGTTCCAGGAACGAGCTACTCGACTAAACGAGCTCTCACCTGCCTATGTCGTTGCTCGCAGCGACTATCTTGCCGAATCCATTGACGCTGTATTGCTCCGGGTGCCGCAGCATGTTCTCGCTCATCGAGATGATGTTGTGCGCCTTTCCTACCTGAGTCTCCACCTCTTTCCTGCAAGCTTTCAGCGGTATTAAGTTCTCGTGCATGTGAATCTCCGCCTCCAATATCAGTTGCTCGCGTCTCCTGTTGATCTCCCGGTAGACGTCATTTAACAAAGACTGAAACGTCTCGTCTATATCCTTCAACGTTCTCGCCATGCCGTTTTCTATCTGACAAGAAATGCGCGAAATCTTCAGGTTAACATGCTGGCCAAGTGCGAGAGTAAGCGGGAACTTGAGTCGTGTGCGCGACTTACCTGTTGGTCGGCCTCGTCGAGACCCTTCAGTTGGCAATTCAACTTCGCTATGTACTCCTGTGCGGACTCTATGATGCCACTGATGTTCTCCTGCACGTTCCGCGGCAAGAGATCTCCGACGAGATTCTGCGACGGGACATCATCCGCATCAGGGCAAGGCAGGGTGTCCGCAGTGTTCCGGTTCTTGTCGAGATCTCGCTCGTCGACCCTCTCATATTCGTGCAGTTGCTTCAGCGTGTGCGTCAATCTCGTCAGCAGCTCTTCCTTTGTCTTCTCATGACTGTTGTTGCGTATCAAGCAGGTTTTGTTGGAGACGTTCGGCGTCAACGGTTCTATCCGATACTTGTCTAACAATTCCGCATGCTCGGCGGCTTGCTCCACTTCCAGTTTGCCGGATAACTTCTGGTTGGTCAGCGCTTCCAAAATCCGTTCCATATCTGAAATGTTGCGGCAATTCTGATTAGCGTAAACAGTCGTGATGTCGATGACACACACGTTTACGTGTACCGAGTGTTTAGGTGCGTCTTCTTAGGGGATTCTTTTAGACTGATTTAAAGTCTACGAAAACAAATGGTATCTGCTCCCTCCCCCCTCCCAAATCGATCCTTAAGAGTTAAAAAATATTATTAAGCCCTCCCTCCTATTGGGGATTTTTTGGGGGAAAGCACAGGTCTATCTTTCGAAATGTCCTTGCGGCAAACGTATGTTTTGGCTTCAGATTCGAAGAGAAACTTTTTAAAATTTCCGAAACTCTTTCTCCAGAGGGGCTCAAAAGTATTCGTTTAACTTCAGAGAAAGTCAACTTAAAGAAAGAGAGAGAGAAAACGAGTACTTTTCGTTTTTCCCAATTTTAAATCAGTTGGGAAAAAATCCCGCTGAGGGAAGGCGCTCCTGAATAGGCGGGTTCTAGAAATTAGTTTCATATTAACATTTCGCGAGTTCCCCGCAGCGACTACAGACACTGTTTAATCAAATTGTGCCAGGAATATTTCGCATAGTAGTAGTCGTTAACGTCGGCTTGAATATTCTTCTCGGCGAAGGTCTGAGTCTGCTGATTGTTCAGTATCAAGCATCTCTTCAGTTTCCTCCCTGGACATCTCGCGTGATCTCGCGGCTTGTCATCTCTCTCTTTATCAACTTGAGAGCTGCTCTTGTACATCTTATTGGGCGCCAGCAACATGCCCTTCCAGTAATCTGGATCGTTGCAATCGTGCAAGGTTGCTTGCGTGCTGGTTCCTATGATTTGCCAGGAGTACTTTACGCTGCACATTCCGTAGGGAGAATCCTCGCGGTCCTCCGCGTTGCTGTCGCTCACGAGATTCTGTAACAAGCTGTACGACGTCTGTGTGCTTGTCCCGATCACTTGCCAGGAATACTTGATGCAGCAATCATAAGGCTTCCCATGATACATGTCAAGGTATCGCAACCCACGTAAGTTATCTCTTCGCCACGAAGGAGACGGCATCCACCTATCCAAAGCTTCCCATGAGCATTTGGCATCGCGAATGTCCCTGTCCGCTTCTTGTTTTCGGTAGCTGCTCGACACACCTTGCTCATCATTCAGACTCTCAGCGTTATCCTGCATTCTGGCTGAACTGGTGTCCTCAACAGGGCGCCAGTTTGTATCAGCAGAGTTTAAGAGGGACGTTGCAAATTGTGGAGACTTGTTCTCTGATGATAAGATGTCGTTTTCATAATGCAACACGTTGATCTCGTATTCACTATTGGTGGGGTGCAGATGATGTGATGCTACTGTGGACACTGGCCTCTCCTTCCTGTTTCCAATGTTTGTAAACATTCTCTTACTTCCCACTTTGAAGCTTGACCCTGACGACGTCGATACTGTGGAAACGGTATCTGTAATGTCGTAGAATGTATCACTCGGCATTGACACAATTTGTGGTTTCATCATGACAATACTGATTGGTGTTTCTATTTTGGGCACAACTGCTAATTTGTCCTCGTCTTCTGCATGACCACCTTTCAACTGAGACATATTGCATTTTCTTGACAACTGTATGGACCTTGAGCTTGCTTTGTGCAGTCCCTCGTCTGATGCTAATGGCTCCAACTGCCCAAGCGTGGAGTCGAGAAAGGATAATGCAGCATTTTTCTTCTTGTAAAACTGTCTCGTTGGATTTGGATTCTGCAGGACATTGGCTTTCTTGATGCTTGATGAATCTGTCTTTCCAGAAATGGTGTACTTTGTGCTTTGATTCTTGAGTCTCTGTTGTTTCACTCTCTTCACCTATAGTCCCAACCGCCAAATATAGGATTATTTGGAACGTAATCTTTGACGTTTTCCAAGATCATTTAGAAATTAATAAGAAAAGGAAAAACAAAAATTTCAAAAAGATATTCCAATTGACCTCAAACAAGCTCTCCAAACGACTGTACAGTGTATGCGACGGTGTTTCTGAAAACAGTAACGCAGGACTATTTTTGTATTTCTGTGCCCTCAAGATCAGAGGTCTGTTTTCCGTTAAACAGATGTTAAAGCTCTGCTTCACAGGTCCAGGTTCCACGACAGGAATCAATACATTTTGGGTATGTAATCTTACATCCGGCACAATTGTCCTTTTCTTTTGTGTTTTAACAGCTCTTAGGCGCTTGCCTTTTATCAAAGCTTGATCTCCCATGTTGAATACTTGCACAGTAAGGTATATGATATCCAAATGCACCTTGGAGAAACAAATGTGTCCTAAATAAATGATCATTTCCTTAGTACGTGTCACGCTCCTTACATTCTAACCTACGAAATCGAGACATTTAAATATCGGGAATAACTGCATCGAATCAAAGTAAATTATTCTTCAATGACAACATATTTCTATTCTGCGGTCCGAAATAAATACAGCAAAGTATGTAATCTGCAAAATACAGCTCGAAATGTTTCGCGGATGAATTTTATTATTCTTTCCGTTATTCGTATCTCATTATTCTCCTCGATATTATTAGATACTATATTTCGGTGTCACAGCACGTCATACAATATAATTCGTGACGAAAAGGCAGTTTTCCCGAGCCCGTACGTATTCCAAAAGCAGCGAAATCAACATCAAGGAAGATATGTCAGTTTTGATACTTACAGACGTCGGGGATTGAGCTGGGAACAATCAGAAGCTCGTAAATTCGACGGAGAGACCGGCGACACGAGGGAGAAATTTAGAGAGCGATGGTGGTGAATGGTGACCGCGACGAGGAATTTTTCCGAAAGATCATAACATTTGAAATGCACGCACTGTCGCGGATCTCCACGGGCGGTGCATCTCGCCGCTTCGAACTGTTCTAAATATAACCAAGGCGCGCGTGATATCACGCGGTATGAAACAGACAATTATCACGTACCATATTTTTTCGCCACAACTAGGCGACATGCGATGAAATGAGAACACGAGACACAACTCTGTGCGTTTAGAATTTGCAAAAGATCCGTTCTACATTTCTTCTTGATCTCTCGCCGGGTGCCTCATATCTCCAACGCGTTTCTTCCGCTGTTCTTCTCTCTCGTTGCGATTGCAGGAAAAATCACGTAATATTTGTATCACTATATTTATAAGATAAAGTACATTATATTATACTGCGTTATATACATACCGCGTGTTATACTTAAACATTATAATACAATTCACGAATATCACATGTGAGCGTCCCTGACATTAAATTACAATCGAAATATATGAGATAAAAATTATACACAAGTGTGTGTGTGTGTATGCATGTGTAGGAGAACGTTGAATGTGAGCATACACCATGTGCACAATTTCTGACACCTTAAAGACCACTCTCCACCGACTCTTAACAAATATATTCTTATATAATTTAATAATGAATGACCTCATGTCTGTGGGATCTTATCAAAGCCTAGGTCCTTTATCACAAATTTTCCCCGCGTATACTCGCGTTGGATATTACAAATACATATCATATGCCAGAATATATTATTAAAATCGTTCGCTATAAAACCCTTCTATGCACCGAAGAACCTGTCGCTAGAGATCGACGAAAAGATTATGGCAGAGAGTGCTGAAGTGCGCACGCGCGCGCCACACTAGTGTGTGTGTGTGTGTGTGTGTATGTGCAATTGAAATTTGATAAGATCTATGGACTGCGGGGAGATGAATAGTTCCTAACGAAATTAATTTTGTCTTTTGAGAAGCTGGTCGATCTGCGTCTTATACATCTCCTTGATGTCCTCGAGATCCAGCCGCAATTCCTGATTCTCTTCCACTTTCTCGCCGTACATCTGCAGGAGCGCGTCATATCTCGTTTGAGTCTCGCTAAGGCTTTCGTTGAGCGCCTGTGCTTCCTGAACTTTGTTGCTTAAGTCTTCGACCTCGAGAGTTAACGTCGCCAATTCCGAGTTCAACGCGTCCCTCTCCACGTTTCGTCGCGACAGCTCCCACTGAAGTTGCTGCACTTCGCCTGCAGCAGCAAAGGACAATTCGTCGGTTAATGACATTGATTAATCTGTAGGACTTACAACTTGATTGAGGTGAATTTACTAATTAGCAACCAGGTAGATTTCAATTTATATTTTATTGGACCGGAGTGCCATTTAGCGACGCGATAGTTTAGCTTTGAGAAGGAATAAAATGCACAGATACAAATAGACATTTGATATTGATTATCCATTTTCAAGATGTCGGCTGCTCAAACTGTGTTCGCGGCTATGTTATTCCAGCATTTACTATGGCTTTCAACTTTCAATCCGAGTTATATAAAACTTACAAGGAAAGAAACACACATTTATAGGACAGATTCGTGTTAAAACAGATTGCCACAAATTGGGACATTCACCTTAAAGCGGTAATGACGAATTGGCTAACACGTGTAGACTTACCGTCCCTTTGTTTCAGCTGCGCTTGTAAATTCTCGAAGATCGACGTGCTGCTAGAACCTGCTCTGATGCCTTCGTACGTCATCGGAGGGAACCTCCCGGAGCTGTTGTCGAACACCGAGTCGCTAAACTGGAGAGAAGAAAGAAGAACGAAAACTTTGTGTTTTAGTGTACATACGGATCGAGCGACGATGTGACAATTTGTGTATACATACAGCTGGCCAGACGCTATTTATACTACTGACAGATTCTTGCCCTATGCTGAGGGTAGGACTGAACCGCAACTCCTCGTCGGTGCTCTGTTGTTGCTCCAGTATCGCATTGTTCTTCCTTCGTTCCGCGTCGGTCGCCGCCTTCTCCACGGCTAACTTGTTCTCCAACGCGTTTATTTCCCTCTTCAGTTCCTGCACCTGGCTAGAATGTGTCTGCTCGAGGGTGTGTATGGTGTCCTGGTGTCTGCGATTTAAACGTAAGACGATGTTTGACGGTCTATTGGCGCTATGTTTGTGTAGTTCTCGAGGTACCTACTGTTTATTTTGCTCCAACAACTTCTCGACCTGCTCGGTCAGCTTGTCGTGAGATTCCTGCAGCCTCAGCCGCTCCTTCTCCTTTATGTTGAGCTTCGATTCCAAGTGCGACTCCTTGGACTTCAAGTTGACGTTCTCTTCCCTCAAAAGGCGGTCCATCTCGAGCAGGTTCTCGATCTTCGACTGCAACTCGATATTTTTGTCGGACAGAAGCTTCTCTTGCTTCATGAAGCTGTTGGATTTGTGCAGCAAGTTAGCCTGCAACTGCTCCAGTTGTCTCAGCAGCGGCTTCGTCGCCATCGAGACGGATTCAGACAGCTCTTCGCTCCTAGCTTCCGCGGCTTCGAGTCGCTTGAGTAACTCGCTGTTTTCGTGCTTGAGGAATTCTTCCTTTCTGCAGCGTGAAACAGTTAATACCATTAGTCTAAGCTGATTATAATTTTTTGACAAGGTTGGGATAGTTGCTCTTCCAAGGCAACCCGCCATCAAGTTACTCGTTGAAAAAATATCTCGCATATCACCAATGTTATTTATGTTAAGAAATAGCTGGTTATTGTTTTCGTTACTCAGGAAATAGCAATTCGTTATAGTTCCCATTACAATCATCGCTTTTCAAGAATGCAATCAAATTGTTATCAAAAGAAGCAACTCGTATAGCGATAACGGTGTTACAGGTGCAACCCAATCACTTCCCAACCCAATTTGCGATATTCAATGTGCGATACTCGCTTGACGTGAGACTCCTCAGCCTGTCGATATTTCACTTTTAAGTCCTCCACCTGTGCAAAAAGCTGGCACGACTCCCCCGCGTTATCAACAGCTTCCTTCAATTCCTCCTCTGTGACTAGCAATTTTTTCTTCGTCTCCGACAAGTCTCTGTTATATGCGGAAATTTAATCGTACATATCTTAAGACACGCTTCGCTTTGGGCTTAATCATTGCCTCTATACTACTAACACTTTCGCGGCGTCCAGGCTTTTTTTATAAGCGTCCATCTTGTGCAACGCGTTGTCCAGCTTCTCTTGTAGAGTCAGAATTTCCTTCTCCTGCTTCTTCGTCTTCGCCGTCAGCGTGTGAACGGCTTCTATCTGAGTGCGTTCCACTTCCTCCTTGGCGTACAACGATCGTTTCAGTCTTTCTAGTTCTGTATTTTGCTCCTCTATCTGCTCCCTGGAAAGAAAACGTCAATTAATGCTGAGGCCTTAATATTAGCTTCGTTGTGAGAAGAAATTAATAAATTAATAATATACATCTTGTAAACATGTTTAGAATCAATACGATTTTCTGTTTTCAAGCCAACTTGTTAAAGAAGACGAATATAATCGTCACAGAGATGGAGACATTCACTTTAGTCTTCGAGTGCGATTTGTCTTCAAGGTGCAATTAAACGACAATATGAGAGTGCAACTAAAGTACTTTTGGCTCTTTATCGTGGCGTCAGCCTCCTTTTCCTTCAGCCGCAGCTTCTTTATAATGTTGCTGTGTTGAAGTTGCTGTTTGCTCAGTTTCTCGCCTTCCTCGCGGAGTTCCTTTATTATCTCATCCTTCTCGGCGTTGATGTTAGACATCTCCTGCGACGATAGACGGGACGCCGCTTCCAACTTCAACTGGTCCAGATTCTTCCTCAATTGATCCCGTTCCCTTATCGCCTGCTGGAATTTCCTCTCCAACGCCGACAGACGTTGCGTGTACTCGTCCGTGATTTGATTTATACTTTGATTCTGCTCCGCGTGCTTCTCAAAGTTCTCAAGTTGCCTGTAGAGGAAAGATTTCTCAGCGTTAACCACGGTGTTCTGTCGTCTGTGGGGCAAAACGGACTAAGACTTACTTCATTAAATTTGCATTTTGCTCGTGCAACTCCATATTCATTCTGCTCACGTCGATCAGCTTCGACTCCCTCGCCTCCAGAATCTCGGTCATCTCTTGCACGCGTTTCAGCAGCTTTTCGATTTCCAGATTCGCCTCGTCCGATCCGATGCTGATTTCGCTCAACTCCCGAGAGTGACCTCTGGTCTTCAAGGTTTTCGTTAGCAGGTCGCCGCCCTTGGTCAACTGCAACTTGGCCGGACTCTGGCGCGATTGCGTCGAGCTCGAGTCTCCGTTCGGACTGCCGAAGAAAGTATCAATTGCTGGTGTACCAACAACCCTCTGCGCCAAAGAGAGAAACATGGTATGATCATATCTGTACCTGGATATAATCTCGATGTCGCTCGACGTCGTGGTTTCTAACTCGTCCCCGCTCGTATGTCCACTAGCCTGATCCGAGCCGATCTTGACCAGGTCGGAGCGACTGTGAAGAGCGACAAGCAAAAATTTCATTTTAGGAAGAATGCGTTGACTCTTCAGGTTTAATGTTTGCTTAACGCAGAGAAGAAATAATGAATATAATGTACACCTAATTTAATCAAAGAAAATTGCTCTTTACGAAAGACTTGTTAATCCTTTAAAAATTCACTGTTTTATTTAATTTAACGCTTCTTTTATGAAGAGGGATATTGAACTTAACATCATTGAATTTAAGGAATAAATTTTATATACATAAATTTTACAAAAATATATTTTTTATCTTCTAAATAATGCTTCTAAATAATGCTTCTAAATAATCTTCTAAATAATTTTTATCTTCTAAATTATATAGAAGTATAAAATTTATAAAAAAAAAGTATTAAGGGTACAAAGAATTGGTACCAAAATTAAATTGCTTTCCCATTCAGGAATTTCCAACATTATATTTAAAGGACGAAAACGTGACATACCTCTCGGAGGATATAGGCGAGCTTTCCCGGGGCACTTCCGCGCAATGCGACTCCATGTCGATGATTTCACCCTTCTCGACCATCGCGTCGGCCAACATGGTCTTCACATAAGAGCTGGCGGTCAACGGCGTTTCCAGGACTTTGGAGACGTTCGTGCACACCAACGTGACGTTATCCTCTGAGCTGCTTTCTATTAAGGTCCCTTCCCCGCTGGAGTCGGTGGATATCAAGTATTGGTCGGTCGTAGTACTCTCGACTAGCTTCGTGTCCTCCGCGCTGAGGTCCTCGACCTGGGGATAACTATCCGGGTCCGGCGGCTCTATGGTTGTGCTCATCAGCTGGGAAAAGGTAGGCACGTCCGCCTTCTCGTTCACTCCCTCCAGGTGGTCCAACTTACGAATCGGCTGCGTGGTAATTGGCTCGAGCGTCAAGTGCAGGTTGTGCTTCTCTTTCAAGGAGTCGAGACTCAAGTTCAGCTTGCCCTCCGTGCAGAGCTTGGTTGACATGTGCCTGTCGTCCGGGCACGAGTCGTGCATCTTCGTGGGCAACTTCATGCTCACGTCCACCAGCTCCATCTTGTTCTGTTGAAACGGCTCGAGTATCGTCATGACCGTGCCCTCGGAAGCGGAGGTGTAGGAATCCTCGGCCAGACTCACCTCGTCCAACTCGTCCACGTCCGGTATGACCTCGACGCTCTCGGGCGAAGTCTTCGAGATGTCCACGCGCGACGAGCCCTTCGTGTCTAAGCCGGAGAACGCGTTCGGCGACGGCGTGCTGTCGACGCTGCACGAGTATGAGTTGGTGCTGAGCGTCTTGACTTCCTCCATGGGAGATTCGTACGGAGAGATGTCCGACGAGGAGAGCTCCGCGAGCTGATCCTTGCTCGGCAGCTCCAACATATTGATGCACTCCCCGCACGGAGTGGCACACTCCTCCCCATCGTCCAGGACGGGCGATATCTCCGCATTCTTGGGATCTATCGGAGACAAGTAAGGGCTGCTGTCGCTCTTCCAGTCTCCCAAAACCTCTACGGAGCTGGGCGACGTAACCAGGCTGTCTGGTAATATCTCAACCGACTCGGAGTTCACCTTGATGCCGACGACGGACGGGCTTATCGAGTTGCTGACGGAGTTGGGGTCCGATTCGGGTGTGGTGGTGCAATCGGTGTTGGATTGCGAGCCGAGTATCTCCACGCTTTCCAGACTCTTTTTGTCGCTTTCCGAAGAGACAGTAGGTACTTGGAACACATTGGTAGGGCTTGGTGTTTGGTTGGCCATTTCATCTTGCTCATCATCCTGTTCTCTGTCGGTGCTGCTCGTGGAATCACTATCGTCGCCGTCAGTACTGTCTGTCTCTTGCGCACGGAACACTACTTCCAAATCCATAAGACTGACTCTTGTATTTTTTTCAGCATTGGTAGGAACAAGGTTTTCTGTAGACGACTGTTCTGACGATACACAAGACGATACACATTCCTGTGTGACCTTGTCGTCGATTTCTTTAGGTAAACTATGGTTAGTATTTACAGACTCACTGACTATGCTAGACTCTTGTTCATCCCCTGTATGTACAGACTTGCTACTTTTTATCACGGGCTTAGTCCCCTCCTCGAGCAGTTTCTCAGGAACAGAAACTGAGGACACTATCCCAGACTGCAGTTCGTCTTGACTGGCAGCACCTTGCAGCGACTTGGAATGTTTGACAATCTTCCTACCCGTGTTACCTTCTGCGACCTTGGGGGCCTCAAAAAAAGAGCCTGTGAAGCTGCCCCAGATACTGCTCGAGCTTTGCTGTTTCGTTGGGATTTTCTCCTGTTCATTGGCCCGCTCTTCATTCTTCAGCCCCCAACTGGCGAAGAAGTCTGAGCTGTCATCCGTAAGCGTTTGAATCACCTTTGGCTCCTCATCCTTGATATCTAACGCCTTGTCTATAGTCTTTTGAGCTTCTTTCAGAGCGGATTTTGCCAAATTGGCAAACCCCGTGGCATCAAACCAACTCATGTCTCCTGCGCCTGAAATAAGACGGAAGCAATGTTGACTCCCGTGTCGTTCCACACGCAGCTACATGTCTCCGCTACGAATCAGCTGTTGTACTGTAAACATTACACAAGTGTAGCGTACGAGCTGAAATTCGGCCGGGGAAGCGCCGATCAACTGGCACGCGTCGAGCATCACGTGAACTCCCGGGTGAAAAATTAACGCTGCGGGGATCACATTAGTCATACCTTCGCGATTATCTGCGGACTGTCGAAAACATCGCTCGGCGCATCACGACCATCGCACTGTTACGTGGCATTGCTCGGCCAGAGGAAGATCTCCTTAGTCGTCAGCGACGTACGCGATATTCCCTGAGGATATCCTCCGTCCGGGCGGCAAGTCGTGCTGGCTCGCTAATTAGTTTCTCTCACTGATTGCGTTCGACCTGCGTGTTAATTGCTAAAATGCACTTAGCAGCCGACATGTTCGTAACAGATCCCGTGTATGGTGTGTGTGTGTGATGTGTGGCAGTGCTGCCAACCTCCGCTCCGCACTCCTCCTCGTCGTCGCCGCTCCTCTTCAACCGAAATAGACTGCACCTTTTGCGACGTAGGAAGGAAGAGGAACGAAATTCCACACTTAGAGTTCCGCTGAAAAGAAAGAAAACAGATCCGTGCTTGCGCTCGTCCTTGACTACGTTCAGGAGAGACACGCGTCCGCTAAAAGCGAGCCTACGATTGGCGTATACTTTCATATCTGCCAATCACACGCGTCCTCCAAAAGTTCACTCCTTCTGTATCCGGAGTGCAGACGTTGAACCGAAAATCGACTATGAATCTTTTCCTCCACCATGAAACTCCTGAAAAATCAACATTTCTTCAAGTTCTTCGAAGCCAGAGAATTTGTGCTCTTTCCTCCACGTCCACGTGGGAGGAAACGAAATTCACGCTCGCCTTCGGCTGCGTTCCGAAATTCACTGCCAGTACTGAAAATACATAGTTTGTGTCACGTATACTATAGAATTTCAGTGCTGGCAGCTCCATGTTGCTTTCAGCTGCACCTTCTACACTCGAACGGCGAAACGCGAGGAAGCGCAGCTGAAAGAGCCTCGAGACGGGCCGCCTCGTGTTGACGATGAATCGCGCGGAGGATTCCGCTGTAATCGCTGATTTTTTCGCGACGATCAGTGAGAACCGACCGAGCGAGGATCGCTCAGTCGGCGAAATGACTTGGCAGGATGAATAATCAAGTCAGCCAGCGCGGCGTGTCAGATACGCGCGAGCGTTCGCTCGCGCGACGACCTGGCGGTCGTTTCCGCCTTCAGCTAGAATTCTGCGTGATTCCGCTCGATTTGCCGTGCTATGATCAATCGTTTATGAGGACGATTCTCGACCGTTATCGCGGCCGTACCTGAAGGGCCCTGGTTCTGGCCTTATTCCCAACAGCTCCAGTGGCGCAATTGGTTAGCGCACGGTACTTATACGACAGTTTCTGTGAGCTATGCCGGGGTTGTGAGTTCGAGCCTCACCTGGAGCATTTTTTTTGCCCGAACTGCTGCGCGATTCGCTACCCGGCTCGGTCCCGACTGCTGATTTCTCGCGCTTTAACGCCGTCCGCCGGTTAATTAATCGCCAAATCGATATCGTAAAATCCGCGAGGACGATTCTCACAATGTACCACGATGGGAAAGGTACGCTCATGTATTACGTACTTAACTTGATCCTTTGAAATGCACTGAAAAATGAAAAATAGCGTACGAAAGAGAATTTTGCATCTACGAAAATCCGAAAGATGGGCGAATAAAATCGACCACGAATTGTGAGGCGAGATTATTGAAGCCAATAACGGAAGGATAAAATTATTTTTTTAATGTAATGTGCATACTTTATAATAAATATTTTATATATATAATTATATATTATTATAATTATATAATTATAATTATATAATATATATTTTATAAATATTATTTATTAATAATAAATAAATATTAATAGTAAATATTATACGATAAATATTTTATACGCGTGTATATCCTAATTAACGAAAACGTCATTGCAATAGCGTGTAACATTATTTTCTTTAAATGTCGATAACTCCTGTCGATTATTCCAAACAACTTTTGCTCTTTAACGTTTTCAAAGTATTCCGACAACATCTAGAACGGCTATATATTAGTCAACAATATTACGGAAATATTTATGAAATACTAAGTGAGAGAACGTTCAAGAGATATATACATTTATTTATCTATTTATTGAGACATATAATAACCGATATTAATATTTGATTTAATATTTTTTCGCGGTGTGCTAGATCTAGAGAAAAATATACAGGGTGTCCGGGATCTTTTGGAAACGAAAAATTGTGAAGATCAAACTGAGAAGAAAAATTAAGTGCCATTTTGCAAAAGTCGCAACAGTTATTGAGTTATTGAAATTATGATTAAAAATTATTACATCTAAAAGATGTAATAATTTTTCTTCTTTTTTATTATTAATCTTCTTTTAATTGTTAACTTGAAAATTTGCGTACTTATTTGCGGCAACAGGTTAAAGATTCAGGATTCAAAGTTCAATATACTCATATCTATCGCTAGACACAATAGCCGTCATATAATTGTACATTAGGCCATTCTGAACAAAAAAGTCCTTTGCCATTTTGCAAATAAGTACACAAATTGTCAAGTTATCAATTAAAAGCGCCTCTACATAAGGTTTCAATCATTAATAACTTAATAACAACTACCCAATTAATAGACAATATTTTTTTAACGTTTTCAAATATTTATTTTATATTTTTTTTTACGTTTCTTTCATCCATTGTACAAAAAATATTTATTTAACATTTATTTAATGTATATTTTACATTGATTCTTCATTCAAAATGCAGTTTTTAAAAAATATTTATTTAATGTTTACTTTAATTCTTTATTTAAAATAATAATTAGGAAGAAATATTTATTTAACATTTATTTTATGTTTATGTAATATTTATTTTACATTAATAACTCGTTTAAAATTATTTATAATGCTTTAAAAATGTTTTTTAAATGTTTTGTTAATATTTTTAAAAACATTTTTCAAATATTTTTTTCTGATTGAGTATTGCGATTTTTGTAAAATGGTACTTGATTTTTTTCTCAGTTTGATCTGATTGATCTTCAGAATTATTCGTCTCCAAAAGATTCCGGACACCCTGTACAAGGGAAAAACAACAAATGTTTATTTGAGTATTAATAACAAATTTACTCAAACCTAAATTCTTTAGATGTAATTCGAACGAAATAGATAATTATTTTTTTATGAAAAATTATCGTTTCGGAAGACTATACCAAGTGGAAAATCATGATGATATCAAAACGATGTCACGATGACGAGGAAAATTTTTTTTCATCATTCGGTTATTTTAATGTCATTATCAATCATTATTGTTATCATGATTTTCTTTTCTGCCCGGGTATCTTTCTCTCGTCTGAAAGAAAAAAGATGTTCTCGATGTAAAAATATGTATTATACATTATTAGTATCAGTAAATATCATTAACAACCACCGTAGAAAAGTTCCCTTATTTCTCAGCTATTTTTTCCCCGCAACGCTGGCAGCTTTGGCTTCCGGGTTGTGCGGAGAGGCTGCTCCTGCGCGGCTGATAAAATAAACTGCAGCGTTCGCGCTGGAAACGAATCCACAAAGGAGCGCGGCTCCAACGTAGCTAATACGGCTCCGCAGCGTGTGTCGAGTATTTGCATATTGTTATACAGAAAAACAATGTGTTCGTTAATCGACGTTAGATCTCTTCATGCGGGGCTGAGAGGGGGGAAAGAGGGGGAAGCGTTACAGCAGCGGGGCAAGAAGCGTGCGCGCATAATATCGGCGTGGCCGGACTGGAAATGTGGAAGTGGATGGATCGGGCGCGATCGTATGCGAGTCACAAAGAAACGCTCTGACCCAAATTGATCGAGATATAATGGACACAGAGGCGCAGGGTGAGACGCTGGAGGGGGGATAGCAGGCGAACGGAAGAGGACGACACATCCCGCCGTTATCGTTATTAATGGCAGGCGCGTTAAAATCGAGGATACGAGCGATGTTTTATGCTAAGTGACCCGATCGTCAGGCAAATCACGAAACGAGGTATACCTATTAAACGGACGTCACCGGTGTTTCGCCGGACGGAACAATGGCGGCCGCCGCCGCCGTCGCCGGAGTCCGGTTTTCGTAAAGGTTGCGCGCTTTAAAAGCGCTTTAAAAGTTCAGCCGCCGGCGGGCCGCTCGTCAGTTTCACTCCCGTATTCAAATTGGAAATGTCTCGACCGTGTTACGAGCCGCGACTCGAGAGCGACGCGAAGAAAAGCCGCGCTACCTGGTCGATGCAGGTGATCGCCCCGCGAGAATTTCGAATTTCGCTGATTTTCGCCCCGCAAAAATCCACGCAAAAAGACTCCTCCCCTCCGTCTTCCAAGCCCTGCCCTTGAACGCTTAAGTTGCTTCAACTCTGTGTTAGATCGGTGCGAAAGGTTTGCCAAGTATAGTAAAAAAAATGCGAAACACAAAAAGGAAGAACATACTTTCCCATTCAGCTCGAACGTCTCGGTCCCATCATTTGCACCCTTGCAAGTATCCCCGATTGCAGAGCGGGGAGGGTCCAAATTGAACGTCAAGGCACATTTTTTTTGCTCGAGAAAAAAAGAAAGAGAGAGAGAGAAAGAGAGAGAGAGAGAGAGAGAGAGAGAGAGAGAGAAAGAGAGAGAGAGAGAGAGCTTAAAATAATTTTATATAGAAATTACTCAACTTCTCCAAGACTTAATAATTTTTATGAATAAAATGGACGACGTCGAGTGTTTGCTTCTTCGGACACTTTGCGAAGATTTCCTGTTTCCTTCTAGCCTCGAAATTCTCGAGAATTTAAGAGATAAGCGGCAAATCTCTCGCACCAACCTCGTATATTCAATTCGCGTATATACTTTATCAGTGATATTTGATTGGCGATGCTTTGTTAAAGCGGTGATCATTGCAGATCTATCGTTGCCTTTTGCTCCTCGGCGCAGTGTCCTCGGGGAACGTCGCGGGCGACAGATTAGAATCGCACCGGGACACGGTCGTGGTGAATTTCCATCGCAGATACAATGTCTCCAAAGTAGCGATACTCCGCAACGAGGCTTATCTGCCCCCGGCGAGCGTGCCGGATCCCGCACTGCCGGAAGTGATCGATAACAGAGCGCGAAACGTGGTAGCGGCGACGAACGAGACCAGAAACTACCCCAGCGTGTTGTATCTTCCCGAGCGGGATTTCTTGCGAGCTCTCACGCGCAAAGGCTCGCAGGACGTGAGATATCCGCAGTATCCTCATCACCGTCGACCCGGCCCTCCGCAAGGCAAACACTCTCGGCAAACCACAACGCGGTCTCCTCTTCTTCCTCCCCCTCCCCCTTCCGCCCCTACACCACCTGTCGTCGCCGCTGGAGCACCGCTGTCGACCCCGGCGAATCGCATCAGCATAGAAGAGATGTCCTGCCAGGACGCAGGGGACGAGTTATTCTTCAGGTAACGAGAGACATCCGAGTAAACGAGAAACGGAAAGGTCCTCTTGCGAAGGACCATGCGAGGTTTTGAGTTATTCAAGGTCGGAGAAGACTGGCATGTGATTACGCGCGATGTTTAATTAATTAATAATTAAAAATCTACATGGTTGTTCGCAGAACGGTACAAGAATTTTTTATCTTCAGTCGAGGCAAACATTTCAGTATTTTATACATCCGCGGAGTAACCCGGCGAAGAAATTTTTCGTAAATTAGGTACGCCTGATATTGACAAGGATCTAATAGGGTGATTGGAGGGTAATCCTGATTAAGTCAGACCTTGTAATGTCCTGATGACAATTGAATAAGCAAGACCTTTGTAAGGTTATAATGATTGAATACATATTAGGACCTTAATGTAACAATCAGTTTAATCGATCGGGTCCTTGTCGGGATTCTTATTCATTGTGCCTAATGTGGCTCGCATTATCAGATTTTATAATAACAAGTTATAATTAATTATCCTTCTCCATCGACAGTCAGTAAAAATAGCCGCCAAATTAACGTGATATTGGATTTCTTTGGATTCGTTTTAAACTACTTTGCTGTTTGAGATTAACCATTATAATATTTCGCTCGAATAAATCTAATATGTACATTGACGTTCCTTGAGTAATTAATTCGACATTGAAACGATAATGAAGTTACAATTGAAGGTCTATATTTATACACTTTCAACGTCGAATTAATCCGAATACCGACATTGAGTTTTTGATATTAATTCGATATTAAGTCGTATCTGAAATAGAAACTTAAGAAGGATTCAATAAGGTAACTTAATCCTAAAGGTCCTGATATCCACACTGCGCTACATGACTTACCAAGATCCGATGATATTAGGTAATACCTTATCCGACCTGATGACCAAATGAGGTGAACCCAATTAGAACCGTGAGATAAATTTCTAGTCGGGAATGTAGACTAAATGGTCTATAAACCCCGTCATGGATGATTTGGTAAACAGCATTTTTTTAATTTAAGAGACGTAGATTTAAATGATATAGATTTATATTATCTGTATCAAGATAAGTCGAGATCGCCTAGGATTTTTATGTAGGTGAGATCATCTATACTTTTATCCGGGTAATCACAAAAACTGATACTCTATCAGACTTTTTCGCCCACTATGGCGATAATGTAAGACGTCAAGACGTTATGAAAGCGAGTCGAGTGCGATTTGATGTGACTTTGCACGTCAGCGTGTCACGCTTTTTTGGCGCAGAGCATCCGTCAAAATAGCGAAGAGCTCGGCTCCGCCGGTAGTAGACAACGTGATGGGTGAAGCCTGCCATGCGATAGCAGCCGGGGACTCTTATCGCATTAATTTGGAGAGGGATCAGTTCTGGGACTGCGGAGTCGTTGATTGTTCCACGGACGGCGAGCAATCTTACTGCCTCGACCTAAGATTCCCCCTGATCTCCGGGCTGCGATTGAAGGACGACTACAGGGTGACGCTGCGATGTAAGACTCAAGATAGAGTCGCGTATCGCACGAAGCGGATCAACGTGAAGACCTTGGAAGCGTAAGGCGCGCGCGAGATGTCGTCGTCCATTTTAGGCGGAGAGGTGATGGCAAAAATAAGCTCCGCAAGTGACTCTTTCAGGAAGGCGAGGAACGTACCGAACGTATTGGACGGCGGCTTCAAGAACGTGGCCTTGGACGTTGATGTGGGGCTCTTCAGGAAGACCCACGGCTCGGACAACATCTTTGACACGAGGATACAGCCGGGCGGCACGGTCGTCCTCGGCGAGGACATTCTGCTGCGCGTGTTGGTCAACGCTGACGACGGTAGGGCTGTTGTAAGAACGGAAAATTATCAGGTCAATTGAAGGTAGACCGAAATCGCGTAACTTCTTTGTGGAGAACGCAAGAACTGACACGTCGGACACATTACGATACCAACGCGTTCATTGAGTGACGCAGAATGTTAAACGATCGCAGGTCTGTTCGTTGCTGAAGAACCAGTGCAATCAGTTCGAAATGAACATACTTTCTTCCACTGTAATTTGTTGGACCTGTTCGAAAACGAGCAGTCCTTGAGACTCCTGATCCCTCGCCGCGAGAAGGCACATGCCGAGGATTCTTCCACTTCCAATCGCGCGCGAAAGAATACTTGAGGCCGCTGATTACAATTCCGCAAATAAATCCGATAATACTTTGGCGACTCAACTCCATTCGCTTCACCGTTCCGCGTGCGTTCCAGGTTGGAAGTACTCGAGGATGGGCCAAGTGACGGTGCATTACGTGGAGGTGAGGCAGCAGCAGAACGTCGTCAACAGCCTGTGGATCCTCGACAAGGACGGCTGCCTAAACGCGGACGTGCGCGAGATCTGCCCGCGGGAACAATACGCGGCGTCGCCGTTGGAAAGCTACTTGCTGTTCCAAGCGTTCATGTTCGAGGGCATGAAGGAGACCGACGAGATTTTCTTGACGGTGAGGGCCACAGCGTGCCTGGAGCTCGCGGACTGCAGCCTCGATTGTCCCGCTGGCCACGTCAGGCGCGCCAGGAGGAGCGCTACGGATCGGAACAACACGCTCGAGTGGCGGGACGATATAGCCCTGCGAGTGGTCTTGCCGAAGTACGGCTGGCGAGCCCCGCAGAGTTATTATTTGGGGTTCTTCTTGGCGGCCTGCGTCTTGCTCGCGCTCACGATCGCGTCGCTCTGGCTCATCAAAGTTTCGTCTCGCCAGAGGACAACGAGAACCTGAGTACTCTTAACATGCTCCAGCTACTTGCATCGAGGTCGGGGTGGTTGCTTTTCTCAAACAGCTCTCGGCCCGTTCGAGGAAGCAGCTCCTCCAGAGATCAGAAGAGAATCGCGTGCGAAATTATACAGGGTGTCCGGGATCTTTTGGAGACGAAAAATTGTGAAGATTAATCGGATGAAACTGAGAAGAAAAGTCAAGTACCATCTTGCAAAAATCACGATAAATATTAGTGATTGAAAATTACTACATCTAGAGGATCTTTTAATATCGATAACTTGAAAATTTGCGTACCTATTTGCAAAATGGTACACGACTTTTCTTCTTAGTTTGATCAGTTTAATCCTCGCAATTTCTCGTCTCCAAAAAATCCCGGACACTCTGTATACGTACGCGTAAATTAGGGTGTTGAATTTCAAACGTAACAAACTGAATATTTGGAAAACTGTATGGACTGTCGAGGTCCGGTGTTTTTTTAGTTTATATTGAAACATATTCTGGTAAAAGAAATTAGTTTTTGAACGCCAAGGCGAGATGAAGATCAAATTTATTTTTTCTTTAACACCCGCGTTTGCAGCCTTTTTTACAACGAATTCAACGACTACATCTAAGGATTGGAGATTAAATGGCGGGAAAGGATTCAACGCCTTTATTGCTGTTGCAATCGTCGGTCATTTTTTTTCGATGATATCTCAAACGGATGAATTTCCTTGAGCTTACTTCTTCTTCTGGAGGATATGCTCCTAAATCTTTGGCACACAGAGAACATTCTTTTCAACAAAATTCTGTTTATCAAAATGTCCTTCCCTCCCTCTCCTTGAAATAATGTGATTATATATGCTCGTATAGAGACAAATCTCATCAAATCATGTATAATTATTTTTTTCTCGAGTCATTATCGTTATCGTCGTTATCCAAACAGCAACGAGACGTTGCAACTTCCATTGTTGTTTTTTTTTTACCAAATTTCGAAGATCTTTTTTATGATTCACTGGCATCCCATATACTTTTTATACATACGACGTAACGATAAAAGTAGCGGTTGTATTTGTTACCATTAGCCAAAAAAAAAGTTACTGAAAAAAGAAGCGATTTCCCAGTAAGCACCAAACCAACAGTAACATTATATCAGTATTATAATTTCCCACTCGAGCCAATATAAGCGCAACGCGGCACAATCGTTGAATGAAACAATTGCATGGCTGAGCGGAAAGCTGCAACATTAATAAAGTTGCAACGTTGCTGCCGGTTGCTGCTCACTGCATCATAGCATTGTAGCGCGCTGCTTTCCCTAATTTATACATAGTTGTATATAAAATGTCGAGTGTACCTTGGCGGAAACAGACATTGACGTATCTTTTCCCTCCAAGGAACAGACCGAGCGTTAAATAAAAACCAAACGCTCGCTGTTAACGCATACGTCGCGCCGCGCCGCGCGGCTGAGAGGGAGAGGAAGAGGAAGAGGGAGAGGGAGAGGGAGAGGGAGAGGGAGAGACAGAGACAGAGAGAAAGAGAGAGTCTCATTACACGGCGACTGACGTGAATGCTGAGCTTCATGAGACGCGACCCGGCATCTCCCATGCATCCAGCTCGGAGCACAGCTTCAGCCCGACCGCGAACAAAGCGAGAGATGCGAATATGCTCCTCACGAACTGATCTCTGCTCAGGGTGTACAGTACGCAAGCCAGCGAGCACGTGCATACGTCCTCGAAATAGCTGAAGCCCTTCGTCAGATAATAATGATCTACGATCCTCTGCCGTTCCTCCAATTTGCGCATAATGCGTTCTGTAACAGGCGAATCGCGGCTGTAAAATGATGTATACGCGTACGCGGTACGTGCGTGTGTGTGTGTGTGTGTGTGTGTGTGTGTACGCGCGTGTATATACATGTAACCTTCCCGAGAGGAAAGATCAATACTACGGCGTTTGATAGCACCGGCGCGCTTCCTCCTGGGAGCGTCTCACGACGGCGAATTAACAGCTCGCCTTTTTGCTCCTGCACCAACGGGCACGTTTCGTCGCAGGCGTCTTCTTCCGAGGCTGCGGCTGCAGCGGCTCTCGTCGTCGAGTCCCCAACAACCCCTCTTCCGTCTGCCACCCTCGGCTGACGTTCCTCGGCTACCGACGGCCCGGCGGCTTCCGCGTCTTCAAGAGGGATCCTCTCCCGACGCAGCGTCTTCGGCGTCTCCTCCTGCGGAGTCTCCTTCGCGTTCACGGCGGGTTGAGACTTTGGCAGCCCTTCATCGACCAATTCGTCTTCCTCTTCCTCTCGGTGTTCCACGCGCCTCGCCGGCTTGTCCTGCGACAGTTGTCCTTCCGCGTCTTTCGGCTGGTCGGTCTCGACTTCCTCATGGACTGGAATTAGAGTTTTATCCACGACCGCTGTCCTTGTCTCGACCTCATCGACCGTCTCGCCATCGCTATCCATCGGCGTAGCGATCGATCGCTCAGCGATCGAGGCTTCTTCAAGTACTCTTGGCTCTTGGGCATCCGCGGGCCTGATCACGCGTTCAGCTTCGTCTCGTTGTGTTGGTGCCCAGTCGATTCCGTCCTCGACGACTCCATCTTCTTCGATCGTAGTTCTCTCGATCATCAGCTCTCTTTCTTCAGTAAGCTCGATCTCCTCGTCTTCCTGTTCCATCGGCTTTTCTGTGGAAGATGACAATCGATTCGCGTGAGCGACTGGAGTCTCTCGCGCAATTTTCGGTCTCCCTAAGTACCTATTGGCTCGACTGCGCGCCTTGGCTCGTCACGTCTTGGTATGTCCCTCGAGGCAGGATCCTGCAGAAGTCGGGGCGCCACGGCCTTCCTCTGCGGAAAGAACCTGTCCGCCAACGAAGGCCTTTCGGTGACTGTTTGGACGATAAGATCGGTCAAGAAGGCAGTCTACGATTCAGAGTTATCGCGCGCAGGTCGACGTACTTCTGGCACGTAGCTGTTGTTTTACTTTAGGGCATTTGATGCTGCACCTGTCCATCGCAAGGACCTCGCTTTGCAGCTTTACTAAATATTCCGTCTCGAATCTCAACGCGTTTCTGCATAGATTTTATATATTTTCACGGACGCATTCGTTATTTTGTAGTCCAGTAAAATTAGCGGAATACGATATGAAGAATTTGGTTCGGTCTCCAAAGCTCCGACATCGTCATCAGGACCATCACTCACCGAGGTTAGCAAATTTTGCGCTCTGAACGCGACAGTCTGCGCCGATTCGCGCCAACTTCGCTCGATAAAATTGCAGATCTTTAACAAACGAACGAAGAGATGGAGCCATCTGGCAACGAGACTGAAAGCATCCCTGATTACTTGGACAGAAATATATTTCCGGTCTTATTAAGCGCGATGGAGGAGACGCTGATCGAGGCTCATCGCCGAGATGCTCTGGAAGTATAATTTATACGATTTTTTCCGTCGACTCCGACACGACATGTCTGTTTTAGTAAAATGAAAAGTCGCTACGCTCTGCAGAGAGGGCAAGTGCTTCTTCAACGCGTTGGACTGTCTTGCGGAGATCCTGTGGAATCGTAACTCGCTCTATTCGAGTAGATCGCGCACCTGGGTGGATGTTTTTAGCATACCACAGTTTAAATTATGGCTGCAGTCGCAGTATGCAAAAAACTTTACATTTCGCTTCGCTTCCTAGGGCTTATTTCATCACTCTTTCCCCGTCTTCTTCCAGTCCTAGACCAATTTATCCGAAATCGTGGCTGTGGACCAAAGAGGAGGCTGCTTTACGCATACAGAGTTACATTCGTGGTTGGCTCGTTAGAAAAAGGGCGGATGTTCAGGAAATGCGTCAGTTTTGGAAGGTATCGATGTGTCCTGATCTTATGTTATGAGAATGATGACACTAACCAAATATACCTTCTTGTGTTAATTGTAGATCATTAGGGCGGAGAAAACTGAACTCTCTATCCCTGAGTCCAACTACATGTCCAATAAAACAGACTGCCAGAAGCCAGTCTGATTTTATCGCTCACTTTATTTTCCTTCCTAAGATATTTCTTGTCGCAAGGAATAATATATAAGACAGTTGGTTTCCATTCTTAACAATTATATACTTCAAATACAACAAAACAATCTTATAAAGGTTCGGTCGCTTTTTCCTTTGGATATAATACACTAGATTTGTCCATACCCAAGTCAAATTTCATAGTTGGAGCTTCATCTTCTTCGGCTATTCTATAATTTTTTATATCCAGTCTACTGTCGTTGTAATGCAAAGTCAGTTGCGGCTTCTCAGATTTTGCGATGCCGTTTGCCCTCATCTGATGCATTAACATCTCTGTAAATAGTGGTGGAAACTCCATCGTCCTGGGCACAACTTTCTTCACAGGCATCACGGTCCGCTCGAGATACAGATGCTCCTGATCTTTTGGCACCAACATGAAATCTGGCTTGTAAGTCGATAAATCATACTGGGTTGGCTTCGAGTTCTTCCGGCCGCGAAAAACCTCGTCGACCAGGGCTATAACGTTCCGGTCTTTCTGCAGCAAAGTCGATGAAATCATGGTGCATTCGGCGACAAAAACGTAATTAAACCGTCGTATGATGTGTGTAATTCGTACTCACATAAGGTTCAGTAGACGCGGGCATCGCGGCGACTTTCAGTATCTTCATGTAACAGGCTTCAGGATACCTCTGGAAGCAATTCCTTATCACGAGCCTGCCCACGCCGAAATTCTTCAAGTTGCCCAGAATCTCCCACAAGGGCTTGCCCTTCAGATATGTCGTGCGACCGATCAATTTTATCGGCATTGTGAAAGGTGGACTTTTGATATTATAAATCTGTTTCTAAACAACAGTCACACAGACCGGTCAGTGATCGCCGCGTTGGCACCTCCAGTTTTCTCTCAGCTAACGATTGATTTAACGTTTTCCTAATGTTATTGTTGATTATTCTTGATACACGGCATCGAAATCACATGTACTCTCGATAATAACAGATTGTGTATATTGTGAAAACATTAGGTTAGGTTTACATTAGGTTAATCTGAAAAGGTCGGATCGGCTTCCACATTTTTTAAATCTGCGAGGAACCCACAGATGGCAGCATCGATCACGAATACATCTTCGTGAATCCTCGGCTGCGATCGGCGCGTCTCGTAGCAGCGTCTCTGAAAGTTCAAATTTAGTGCAACAATGAGGAGCAGTCGGCCGATCGGAGGTTATAATATTAAGTTTCACGACACATTCCGCAATCGGCGGAGAATCTTTCGAGAATTATTGAGAAACGAGTCTCACATTCTTGCACACGAATACGAGATTTATCACGAAACTCGCCGAGGAAAAGCGTCGCAGCCTTCCATCAGCCGACTTGTACGAATTGTCGGCGATTATTCGGACACGAGAGTGAAAGAGAGAGAGAGAGAGAGAGAGAGAGAGAGAGAGAGAGAGAAAGAGAGAGGGAGAGAGATGAAAGGTACGTTACAAACTTTTCAAACAATATAATATCACAGAAAAAATCTGAGAAAGAAAACGAAAACTTGCAAAGCTTCATTTGAAAAGAAAAAATATTGCAGTATTCCTCAAATATCTTGCTGTTAATTTTCCCAATGCTTGCAATATTCATATCTGAAAAATCCACTCGAAAGGCGGGAACGCCAGAAACCGAACAAAATGGCGGAAGTAAAATTTTACTCGGGAGGAGAAACCTCCCGTTTTCTTCGTTTCTTCTCGAGATCGACAGCGACGTCGTCTTTAAAGATGTCAGAGTATTATGAGCACGTCTGGCGTTTCTTCATCTACGTCTTTTCCGCGCATTTTCAGACATTCATCTCCTCGACAATCGATCTATCAGCCAGCTGCCGAAGGTTCCAGAAGACTACTACGCACCGAAGGGGGGTTGCGAAGAAACACTCGCCGGAGATACAAGTCATGTAAGTCATTTATTAATACGACGATTAAGTACGAGTGTGTATAAGCTGCTGCAAAGAAAATGCATTACTCGACGATCCGAACGCTCGAATCATAACCTTGAGATTAGCCCCGGCGCTTCGTCCGTAAGCAACGCCGAGTTGCAGAAATCGCAAGCCGGCGCGCGACCTACGAGACCCTACGCGCTATGTACAATATATAAGTTAGCAGTTTAAATAAGAGAGAGGGAGAGAGAGAGAGAGAGAGAGAGAGAGAGAGAGAGAGAGAGAGAGAGAGAGAGAGAGAGAGAGAGAGAGAGAGAGCGAGAGAGAGAGAGAGAGAGACACCGGCGCTTAGTCTAGACACGAAGGGAAGACGAATAATCTGAGTTAGCTGAATAAATATCTCTGCGACGCGAGCAGGACGCCGTGCCGGGCGGTTCGTCGATACAGAAGTCGATACACGCGATTAACATTACAATTTACATAAATATAAATCTACATCCCGTCCTTCGCGCGTCCTGAGTCAAGTTTCGTAGGACCTTGTCGGAAGAAAACGCGCCTCATGCTTGTTTTCCGTCGTCAGTACTCCAGGAACTGGCGGATCCAGTCCAGGTAGTGGGACACGCGAGTGTAGACGCCGGGCACACCGGCCTGGCCGCAGCCGATGCCCCAGGAGACGACACCGCTCAGTTGCCAGCGGCCGTGTCGTTCGCAGACCATCGGGCCGCCGCCGTCACCCTTGCAAGCGTCCTTGCCCTCCTCGCCGCCGGCGCAGAGGAAGCCTGGGTGCAGGTTGAAGCTCGGCCCGAGCCTCGTCCGCCTCATTTGTTGCTCGCACGCGTGGTTGCTGATGACGGGTACGTCCACTTCCTTCAGTATGTTCTGGTACTTGCCGAAGTCACCGAAAGCGTCCTTGCCCCAGCCGGTGGTCCAGCACCTGCCGTGTCGTAATGATTTGTTAGACCCAGTTGTCTGGAAGAACGCTCGAAAAGCTCGAGTTCTCTCCATCCTATTTGAGAATCTTTCAAGTGTGCTTCGTCGTCTCGATCTAACGTTGCAATATACGGAGTAATATGTTGTTATTAACGGTACATGTAATTTGTTTACCGTTATTTAGATAAGATCGTGCAGTTTATCATCCAAGTAAAAGTACCCGGCACCGCCTTATTTTTATCTGGATAATACAAGTTTGTATTATCTTCATCTCAAATTGAATTATTTTTGGAAAGTTATTAAAGATAACGATCTTTGGATCTTTTAGTCTGCATCGCTGCAAGTGTGTAAAATATTGAAGTATTTGGTTTTACGTCATGAACGTTTGCTTTATGAATTGCATGGGATTCATCTGTAATCAGGCTGAAGCTAAGAGGAATTTCATCATATTTCACCTTACCTTTGTCTAGCTAATCTTCAAATTAGTTAATGGCAATATCTTTAACGGTATATACAGTGTTTGCCGTTATCTGGATAAAATTGTGTAGATTATTGTCTAGGTAAAATTTTACCACTAATTTATCTTTACCTAGACAATATACAGGGTGTCCCGGATATTTTGGAAAAGAAAAATTATGAAGATTAATCGGATCAAACCGAGAGGAAAAGTCAAGTACCATTTTGCAAAAATCGCAATAGTTATCAAGTTGTTAATTGAAAATGGCCACATCCGGAGGTTTTTTTAATTGATAACTTGAAAATTTGCGTACTTATTTGCAAAAAGCAATGATATGACTTTTCTTCTCAGTTTGATCTGATTAAACTTCACAATTTTTTATTTCCAAAAGATTCCGGACACCCTGTATAAATATGCATTATTTTGATCTAAAACTGAAGAGTATCATCTTTAGAAAATTACCAAAGATGACGATCGCAGATATTTTGCTCTATATTACTGCAAATGTGTAAAATATTGAAACGTTTGATTGTCCTAAATATTTGCGTTAACATTGAGAATAAATATTGCATAGCATTTATCTATAATCGGGGCAAAGTGCTAAGAGGAATTTACATATTTAATCCTATCTTGTTACCTAACTATTCTGGCTAATTTGAAATCGTTTAAATATTAACATTAAATATACCAAATGAGTAGAAAAAGTTGTCGCGCACAAACTTGGCATTTGAGAACAGTTCCGTTACGAGGAACAACTACAACAATTTTTGGTTGTATTTGGTTATAGTTAATTTGAAAATTCGTTTTGTTAAAAATTACAACACTGCGCTGGATATAATTTGGTATCGATGACGTCCAAGATAGTGAATTCAGAAATATGTTACCGATATATTTTTTGACAACGAAACTATTCTGAACTTGTTACTTCCGATTCTACTCTGAACGTTTTTCCGCGAAATCTTTAAACTATCGATCACAATGGAGTCTACATTTTCTTCCGGTAAATTTAGAAAATTAACCTTTAATTAATTGATCTTTAATTTTGCATCTGATATTTCGATTAAATTAGTCGAAATAACTGGGTAAGATTGTTAATAATCAATTTTCAGCTGCATAATCCCAAGTTCATTGATAATATAATTGATATAATAATTTTGGTGAAATCGATAAGAATAGCAGATAATTCCTGGCCGGTTTCCCTCTTTAAGGGTGACTTTCTCCAAACTTCGATTAATCTAATCGACGATTAACTTCGAGAGAATCGTCAACAATTTTTTTTTCACTAATACTTGATTGATTTTGAGTACAGATGACAATGAGAGAACATGAAAATTTCATGTTCGTTCTAACAAAAACTTGTCTTTAATTTTCCACTCTGTTAATTGAGTTAATCGTTAATTAATTCGATAAAAATCGTTTTAAACTTTTTTCATCGCGCCTCGCCCGTGAGAATCGTGCGAGTTTCTCGCTTTGTGCAATTTCACTTTCGATTTTACTTTCAGTTTCAAATTCAATTTCCATTTCACCGACTCAATTTCAACTTCACGCTTGTACATGGCGAATGAATCGTTCCAATTCTCTTAAGAAAACTTTCACGATCCTTTAATTTCTTGCTTATGCAGGACAAGTTTAAACTTTGGTTCAACAAGGTGACCAGAAGATCACATTATTGCTCATACTCTCATCATCTGATTTACGGGAGGCGTACCTTATTCCGATGAAGTCGTCGTACTGATTCGGTAGACAAGCGGGACTTATGTGAGGATTTTTTGCGAAGTCAACGTCGTAGTCCATCTTGAGAATGGCGATGTCGTTGGCGAGGGTGCCAGCGTAGAACTCAGGATGCACATGGACGCTGACGATGTCGCGCTCGATGTAGGGATAAAATTCGACGTCGTGGTTTACATCCCACTCGCCCAAACGCGCACGAAGGTCGCGACCAGAGTGGGTCTTCACGCAGTGAGCGGCGGTGATGATGTGTCGTGACGAGATCAAAGTACCTCCGCAAACGTACACGCTCTCGCTAGTATCCTTCTTCAGGATGACGACTTGCCACGGGTACTCGGCTGAATCGGGAGAAAAGTCGCGATAGAGAACAATGGCTCGTACCTCAGAAGTTTTCATTGAAGCAAAGTGACGTTTAGAAAAACAGGGTTCAAGCGACTCGAATCGAGCTAATTTCACTCTCCGTCTCACGAACTTAATTTCGACTTTACGCCTGCATACGACGAACTGATTCTCTTGGGGGAAATTTGCATGTTCTTTTTTTATATTTCGCTTACGCAGAACTAATTCAAAATTTAGTTCGACGAGGCGATCATGAAAAGTGGTGTGTTATTGATCGTATTTCTCAGCTCATTTGCTGAAACTTCCATTAGAGATGGAATTATTCACGTTATACGAGCAGATTAGTTTTTGCTAATTGAACATTTATTTATACCGCGTATGTGTAACTACGTTTCAATTTCGTTCATATTTTATTGTTGATTAAATTTTCGAATTAATTCCAATTTATTATTCAGGCTGTTAATCCGACTCGATTTTTATTCGACTCAACTTGCACGATCACTAGATTTCTTTATATCCGATCCTTTTATGATTAAAGATGAAAGCGATACTAATACGATATTCGCCAATCTCGAGATTACGCGAGAAACTGGCGTTACGTTTTTTTCCTTCCTATCTGAGAAATTCTTTTCAAAAACACATCTCGAGGAAGCTCGGAAAATATCTCTGACTCAAAGTGACGTCTTCAAGTTATTTTTACCCGATTTTTAACGTGTCCATTAATCGATCAAAATAATATTAACTGGATGTTTGTCGGTCTCGAGATTACCACGAGAAACTCGCATGACATGTTATCCTTTCTATATACAGGGTGCTAAATTTTAAACGTAACAAGTCAAATATCTCGAAAACTAAATGATTTCGAGGTCCGTTTTCTTTTTAAGTATCATTTTGAAAGGGACACGTTAAAGAAATTGACTTTGCGTGAAGGCGTCAAGGTAATACAGGGTGTCTGGGATCTTTTGGAAATGAAAAATTGTGAAGATTGATTAGATCAAACTGAGAAGAAAAATAATTTGTACCATTTTGCAAAAATTACAGTTATCAAGCATATCAATTATTAATGATTAAAAATGACCATATCTAGAGGCTCTTTTAATTGACAACTTGAAAATTTGCATACTTATTTGCAAAATGGCAAAATGTAAAAGGATTTTTTTCTTCAGAATGACCTAACTTACAATTATATGATGGCTATTGTGTCTAGCGATAGATATGAGTATATTGAACTTTGAATCCTGAACTTATTGCTAAGCACAATAGCCATCATTGTAGGTTAAGTCATTCCGAAACAAAAAGTCCTTTACCATTTTGCAAAGAAGTATTCAAATTTTCTAGACATGGTGATTTCCAATCATTAATAACTTCATAACTGTTGCGAACTTTGCAAAATGGTACTTAAACTTTTCACTGCTGAATTAACTTCCGTTGAGAAAATTATTAAAATATTTGGTAGTCCTACGTTTTTTGGGCCGCTAGTTACGAATCTCAAGTCAGATTTGCAAAATTCAAAATGGCGGACTCAATATGGCGATCATGATGTACAAAATTAATGAAAATTCCAATTATTATTAAATAATGACCAGGTCGTAATAAGAACATATGATTCTAGACGATGGAACTCGATCGAGCTGGAAAAAATTTATGTAGGAAAATGTTCAATACTGCATGTTTATGCTTACTAGAGATTAAACATTCATTTTTGAGTAAAATAATATTGATAGTATGGATAAGATGGAGAATGAAAAAACTAGGAAAATAGAGCTAAAAAGTGCAAAAAAATCAAATTTCGACCGTTTTTGTAGAAATATTTGTTTATAAAAAAAATCTAATCTGCAAAAAAATATTGAAAAGATATATGTTTTTGTACAACGTCAGAAAAATATTTGGTGAAAATTTCAGACCTCTACATTCAATACTCTCCGAGGAATCGATTTTTCCCTAAAAAAAGCATTTTTTTCAACTATGATTTGTTATAAATAATCACAAGTGAATAATTGGGTATAAAAACCTATTGGAGTATGTTGAACAACTATTCAGTTATCTGGAAAACTCAAATCCCCGATTAGTTCTTCAAAATTATGTGACTTACAACGCAAAATTGAATCAAGAAAAGGTGGGAAGTATACTTCCCACTAACAGTGAAAGGGTTAACTCTTCTTCTTCAGTTTGATCTGATTGATCTTCTCAACTTTTCGTTTCCAAAAGATATCGGATGTCTTGTATATATGTCACTATACATCAAGAACTCTTTTTCGAAACATGCCGCGCGAAAAACGTCGGGAAACATCTCGGACTCGAAAGCTAACGTCGCCAATCGGGACGAGACGCGATCGATCGCTCTCGCAGGAGAGCCACTCTTGCGCGCAGGGGACTGCATTAGAAATCGCATACCAAATTCAGAGTCTCCGTCCACATAGACCGGGGTCTTGACGCGTCCATTGATGCCCTGCGTATTCCTAACCCCGCATTGTCCGGGCTGCGGGCGTGGCGCTATTAAATGCGATCTCCGGCAGCAGACGCGATGAGCACCGCAGGAAGGCGGCTGTCCTCCGTAGCGTCTCTGCGGATAGATAGAAAGCGGAAAGATCGGTTAATCGATCAGTCACGAGAGAGCACGTGCCCCTGGTCGAGCCGGGCCGGGGCACGTCACCTGACACCGATGTCCTACTTATCATGACTTTTATCTGTAAAATGTACACGGCGCTGCCGCTCAGTTGGACAGTCTATCGGTTCGTGGCGTTGTCGTGGCTGCGTCGTCATCGACCGGTTCGTCCTCTGTCGTTCGCCGACAGTCCTAGTTACTTGAGCCTTGCTCGCGCTTATACCGTGCGACCTATGCGACGTCTTTGAGTCTGTTGACAGCGCGAGCGAGTTCCGGGCATTCTTACCTCCACCGGCGCGCTTTCGTTAAACGTCACGTCGCGACGCCGTCTCCTACTGTCCGAGAAGGTAATCTTCCCTCCGTCTGACTCTCCCTGCCGACCGAGCGGTCCTCGCGTTGGTGACGAGTCCTTTGTCGCGGCGGACTGTCCGCCTCTCGTCGCCGTCGCCGTCGCCGTCGCCGTCGCCGTCGCCGTCGCCCTCGCGGTCGCGCCTCGCGCTCGGCCATTTCTATAGTAATCGCCGTCCGAGTAATCGTCCGAATAATCGTAGTCGTCGTAGTCGTCGGTGTCTTTGTAATAGGGACCGGGGTATCCGCCGGTGCTGGTGTGATAATGAGGCTTCGACTGGTGGTAGATCGATGGCGGATAACGATGCTCGTGGGCATGATGTATACCAGCACCGTATACCGGGTAGAAGGGTGGTCGCGACGGGTAATACGGTTGGTGCGGCTGCTGATGATAGTGGTAGGGCTTATCGTGGTGGTGATAGTGCTCGTAGACACCGTGCGTCGGTGCGTAAACGCCACCGTGATTGCCGAACAGGCTGTACTTCTTATGGGCCAGTAGGTGGCCCAGCTTGTGAATGAGCCCCGGGTTGGGGGTTACGTGCAGGTTCACGTAAGGCTTGAAAACCTTCTCGCCGTACTCGTCTTTGGTCACCTGCAGCGCTACGAGCGGATTCACCGAGACCGGGCCTAGACTTATGCCCTGGCCACCGACCAGCCCGTAGCCCGGGTACCCTAGGAGATTACCAGGGTGGGGTCCGATCGGCGGACCGCCGACGGTCTGCGGCAGGCTGAAACTGACGCCCCAAGTCGGCTTCACGTTCAGTTTCGAGGTGTCCAGATTGTCGGCTATCAGTCTCTGCAACGAGAGAGTCGAACAAAATTCACGTGGAACGCTGGACCGATGTTTCTCTGTCTCTCTCTCCCTCCCTCCCTCTCTCTCTCTCTCTCTCTCTCTCCCTCTCTCTCTCTCTCTCGGGCTCCCTCTCTCTCTCTCTCTCTCTCTCTCTCTCTCTGACTCTCTCAATCTGTCGTTTTTCGCTAGGTATTAGCACGTCGATTAGCCGAGAGACTTTGCCCCGCTGCTCTCACCCGCCAGCCTCACTCCCGCGCTTTGTTAGAAGCGTTTGCTCTCGAACTGAATCGCACGAATACATCCCCGAACCGATGTCTGGGTCCTGACGTCCTCCGCCTACCACGGCCCTTTAATCTACCGTCCGCCAGGGCGGACGTCTAATTGCGAAGTTGCGTCCAGGCCGAACCGACCGACCGAACGCGCCAAACTGAGCGGTGTGTTAGGACAATGGCATTAAAATAGTGGCATGCGGCTAATCATCTCGTCGATGCGCGAGCCGACTTTGTCGAGCTTCCGATGTGACGTCTATTGGTGTAATTTCAGACAAAATACTTGGAAATCATCCGGAGTAATCGAACCCGTGATATGTGGATAGGATTCATAGACATTTCTCGGGATTCTTCCGGGTACAGATAGTTTCGAGATTAGCTGGCTAAAGATAAGGTGAAATGTGCGAGTTTCTCTTCAGCACTCTGTCGCGATTATACTATATGATATACTGGTGCAATCTCAGTCTTCGTGCAGTGCTAAGGCAAACGTCCACGACACTGAATTATCTGATGGCTGTCATCTCTGATAATTTTCTAAAGACAATACTCTTTCCACGATTTAAGATGCACGGGTGAAGATAATATACAGAGTGTTCGGGATCTTTTGGAAACGAAGAATTGTGAAGATTAATCGGATCAAAGTGAGCAGAAAAGTCAAGTCCCAGTTTGCAAAAACCGCAATAGTTATTAAGTTATTGAAAATGACCACATCTAGAGGCTTTTTAATTTTAATTAACTTGAAAATTTGCAAAATGGTAAAGAACTTTTTTGTTCAGAATGACCTAACCTACAATTATATGACGGCTATTTTGTTTAGCGATAGGTATGAGTACATCGAACTTTGAATCTTGAATTTTGAACCTGTCGCTAAGTACAATAGCTGTCATATAATTGATAGATTAGTCATTCTGAACAAAAAAGTTCTTTTTTGCAAATCATTTTGCAAATCATTTTGCAAATAAGTACGAAAATTTTCAAGTTATCAATTAAAAGAGCCTCTAAATTCTCAATCATTAATAACTTAATAATTATTGCGATTTTTGCAAAACAATACTCTTCTTCTCAGTTTGATCTGATTAATCTTCACAATTTTTCGTTTCCAAAAAATCCCGGACACCCTGTATATTTATATTATCTAGGTGAAGAAAAGGAAGGTTGGTGGCTGAACTTTGTGTAAATAATCCTCCGTATAATTTTAATCTAGACGACAGCAAACATAATGCTCAAACAACACATTCCGATTGGAATTCCCGGATTTGAAACTCGCGTTTTTTTCGATAACGTTGGTATACTTTTATAATATCAAATAGGAAATCACATATTTGTATCAATCACCGTTAATCACCCGATAGAACGGAAAATCTAAAAAGATAAAATCCCGAAGAAACAATTGGAGAAACTCCAAGTGGGTCTCGAAAAATCGGGACTCCAAATTCCGATTAGATCGCGAGAAATGTTCTATGCAGAAAATCGAGCGGTCTCGTCGCAAGGACGTTGCTCGAAACGGAGACCGCGGTTAATACTTAATCGGCGAGTCCAAATATACCCGAATGCCGATGGTCGTTGACCGTTCGCGAGCGCGAACGTACTTCTTAAAATATCGATTGTCACATCGTCTGCTCGGCGGCCGCAAGAAAAGCGAGAGAGAGACAGTCTGGATCAACTTACTTCTTGCGCCTCTGGCTTCTTGTCGTCCTCCCGGCTAATCTGCTTCACGTCCCTGCGGTTTCGCTTCGGAACTTCCGCCTCTTCGCTCGTCCACTCCGACTGCTGGTTCTTCGTTTGCTCGACTTGCTCGGTCTCGTTGACTCCCTTGGGCACCCTCACGACGCTCATCGTGCCGTTCTCGTCGGTTATCACCACCTCCTCGGTCTCAGCCTCGATGTCCTTGTCGAGGTTACGCGGGTCGATCGCCAGGTAGAGGTCGTCCTTACGGCCTGCATGGTTGATCGCGGAACATTGGTTGTAAGGCACGCACACGCAGTCGTCGGAGTTCGCGGACTGCGAGTTGCTGTCGCGGATATTGCTGAACTGATAGTCCCCGTTGAAACCGTCGAACTGGCTGTTAGAGCCGAATTGTTGGAACGCATTCGCGTCGTATTGCTTGCCGTTCGGCTTCTCGTAAGCGGGATAACGATCGGCGTAGGCCTTCGCGGGCGACGGACCGCTGTTGGCCTCAGGCGTCTTGATCTTGAAGGCCTTCTTGTAATCTTCGAAGTCGTTGTAGGAGGCGCCGTAAGTGCCGCCGCTGCCGTAACCGTAACTGCCGAGGCCGTTGCCGCCAGCGAGCGAGGGTGACGGGACCACCACAGGGTTGGGTGCGACGCCGGAGGTCAAACTGCCCGCGACAGTGCCGTCTCCATGGTGGTAGTGGTGGTGAACGTGTTGTTGGACCGGCGAGCCAGACTGATGCAGAACCACCTGTTTCTTGTCGATCAGCTTGTCCTCGTAGTCGAGTCCGACGTCGACGCCCGACTCATAGATGGGTTTGAAAGGTGGACCTGTCTTCTTGTAGCCCGGGTATGGGCCGACGAAGCTTATCGGTGGTCTGCCACCGTACGTATGTCCTGGTAGCGGAGGTCCTGGTAACGGGGATCCCGGAAGCGACAATCCCGGAAACGTAGAGCTGAAGCTCGACGACGGCAGCGGCACGGGTCTGGGTGGGCCGTAAGGCCGCTTCAGAGGTATCGCCGGAAGTGGGCGGCCAACCGGCCTGATGGTCACCGGTTGCGCGTAGATGACGTCGTGCGGCTGGATATCACGGTGCGGCGAGTAGTAGGGTCGTCGTCCTTCCGTATCCTCGCACTGCAGCAAGAGTAATGCCATCGATTAGCATCGTGAGCTATAAGAGCTGTAGAGTTGAAGTTGGGATCTTGTGGAGTTGGCGCTGTCAATTCTAGGCACTCGGGTTTCTCGAGCGCTGCTCAGATAGCCAGGCTTATATCTCATCCGGGTATTTCTCAGATTAGCCTGAATATTCCGATATTCAAGTATTCAGATATTTGATTATACTAGCCGATTGTTCTCTTTATTTTTGCTTATTTATTCTTTAAGTCGTTTTATGTGACGTGTCGAAATGCAGTCGACAAAGAAAGTAGATTCTTTTGGGAATTTTTTTGTTTATATCAGGATACGTCAAAATAAACTTTTGGCAAAGAAATTTTTGGCAAAGTGAAATTCATTTTTCTTACATACAGAGCTCTCGTATACGTGTGGATTAGATCAAACTGAACAAAAATTCCTGTTTATACAGGATGTCTGGAATCTTTTGAAACAAAAATCTTTGGAAACAAAAAATTGTGAAGATTAATTAGATCAAAGTGAGAAGAAAAGTCAAGTGTCATTTTGCAAAAACCGCAATTGTAGATTAGATCATTCTGAATAAAAAAAGTCCTTTACCAACTTGCAAATAAATACACAAATTTTCAAGTTTCCAATTAAAAGAACTAGATATGGTCATTTTCAATAATTAATAACTTAATAACTATTTATTCTGAATAAAAAAGTCCTTTACTATTTTTCAATTAAGTGGGAAAATTTTTGAAGTTATCAATTCAAAGAGCCTCTAGATGTGGTCATTTTCAATTATTAATAATTTAATAACTATCGCGATTTTTGCAAAGTGGTACTTGACTTTTCTTCTCAGTTTGATCTGATTAATCTTTACAATTTTTCGTTTCCAAAAGATCCAGGACACCCTGTATAAAGAGAAACGTGATTTAACTTAAAAATTTTTTTTATTCTCTCCGGGCGTCCGAATAGTGCTTTTCAGTAGTCAGTTTCGATACAGTTTCGCTAGAAGTTAATTTTCGAGCGTTCCTGACGTCTGACTATTGAACTGGGCAAAACGGGTATTTGTAGTTTCGCGAGTATTGATTTCAATCTCATGAAATACTTACATTCATCAAACCGAGGGAACAGAGCTTGTCCTTGATGTAACTACGCGCGATGGTGTCGTTGCCAGCCTGAAGTGCGGTTTTCACATTCGGGTCCGAGTACACGTCATCGTAACCCTCGAGATTGCGACCCTGACGATTCGATATGAGGATATCATCGATTATAGATTCCACCTGCAATCAGGTGTATCGTACTTTATGGATATAGCATTTGAAGAACATTTACATTCTTTTTTTTTTGTAAAAAAATGCGTACTTTTTGCAACTCACCAAAATTTAGCAAAATTGAACTTTAGCGAAAGTTTGTCCGAGCATTATTAATATTGAAATTATTTTACAAGGCATTTTATTATTTTACAAGATTGTCTTACTATCTTGCAATCCCGTCAAAGCTATTTCGCGACGATTTTACGAGGCAATAACGCTCACCGATTGTTGATTGACGACATCGGCAACTCCGCTGGCGTCTGTCTGGATGTTAGGGCTGTACAACGACGTTTGTTGCGCCTCCTTCTGCTTGTCGGAAGTCTCGAACGTAATGGGGTGATATACGTCTTGTTCTGGATTGGAGTTGTCAATCGAGTCCTGGTTCTTCCACGGTTTCCATGGTTCCTGCGAAGAGTCGCTCGTAGGTGTCTCATACACCTGAGTGCCGAACGCCTGTCTCGCTATCGCCAAGCAAGCTATCAGGATGAACTGCGTCCTCATCCTGTGACAAAAGGCAAGAGAATCCTAGATTCAAAAACTGACTCTTTTTTATCCTCTCGAGTCGAAATAACATCTCCCAGACTCTCATGAGCCAAATGTTACACCTTATTATTCACAAAATCTCATTACTTTGTAACAACGAAACCCTTTCGAAAAAATCCAGCGACATCATATAAAGCACGATCGAGTTACTCATCGAGTAGTACAATGTATCATGTATCAATGTATTCTTGAGCGAGCAGTCACCGTCCCGGAAAAGATGCATCGAAAAGTGCATTTGAAAAGTGGAACAATTTTCTGACTAGTCGTAACATCGAAATTCGATCTCTCGGAATATGGAATACAATGTTAGAGAGACACTGGAACAGCCGGGCGCCATTACCCGGCTAGAAATTTATCCCATGGCTCTGATCAGGTTAACCTCACTTGGTCAGGTCTTCATAAAGTAATACTATCGGGTCCTAATAAGTCATATAATGATATAACGTGGATATCAAGATCTTATTAAGGATTCATAATTAGGTCCTTAATAAGTTATCTTATTGAATCATTCACATAATCAGGTCCTTAATAAGTTATTGAATCATTATTATGTTTTACTTCAGACTAAAGCTCCTGGCTACTCACTGCGGTTATATTGGGATTGTGACATCAAAAAAGAGAAATGGCACGCTGAAAGTTCTCGCGGGCCATTTCCATATACAAATATATTTGTATGTAGGAACCTTTCAGATCGCTTGAGATGATACTTGTAAAATGTCCCGCGAAAATGATCCTTTTCCCTTGAATCGATAAAAACTGAATGTGGCAAGTTCCCAAGGAAAGGTAGTGCTGAAGAGAAAGGTTGCGTGTCAGGTTAATTTTATGGCTACTTATTGACTCTCAAGGGGAATGGATAATTAACTGCAAACCTTGTTAAAACATGATAATGCAAACTGCATTAAATACAATATAATAATTCCGGTCAGCTAAACTTTTTTACATAGGTTACTTAGATACACATAGGTTAGTATATCAAAGTCCTGATACGGACCCGACCATTATAACCTCAAAAAGGTCTTCTTTACTCAATTGTTACATTATAAAGTCCAACCCGATTAGGATTTCCTATCAGGTCCTTGTATCAGGCGTATCTGATGAAAACTTTTAGTCGCTAAATTTCTAGCGCTTGGCGGTTGACCTTTTACGACCAAGACGCAAAATTTGCAAATTCCCGCGGCGTTTTTTCCGCGCGTAGCTCGAGCCGACCGACTTCTGTCGCGTTGCTCTCATTTTCTCGGCGCCGATTGCCTTGTTATTCGAATTTATATCGGCTGGCTCGGCCACACGAGGCCACTCGCATTATTTTCCACGTCGCCGCGTCCCGACGTCCCGACGATCTCTCGGCAATTTCTCCGCGAGCGCCGGCCACGTGAAAGTACATCTCTCGCCTTTCTCTATCCGGTTTTATTGTTCGCGCCGCGAGGCGGGGGGGGGGGGGAGAGCGCGCTGCAGCCCGCTCGGCTCAATATCGACTCTCTTCACGGGACACGTTTTCGGCATTCCGGAAGTCGTCCCTTCGCCACTAACGACCCAAGGTCTCTGTCTCTCTCTTTCTCTCTCTTACTTTCTCGCTCCGCTGCCCCCGTTGCCCCGGAAACATAAGATTTTACGGGCGCTCGGCATGGCGCTCGAGCTCGCAGATGCCGGTTTCCGGTTCCAACAGAGCTGCCCGGAGACGCAAAGACGCACACGGGCGTGTAATTACAGCGGGGCAGGGGGCGGGCGGGGGTCAACGAAAGCGAGAGGAAGTTGGGTGAAAGTCGTTTGGCCGGTTCGCGCGTTTACTAGGATGCGCGACGTCCCGCCGAGCACATCTCCGTCGTATCTCGATGTTTGGCCTTTTCAAAACTGTTTAGTTGGCCGGAGAAAGCAATTGCGTAATTAACGAATGCGACGCGTGCGTCTGTGACGGCGCGGCGGGACGATTTGAATTTCAAATGGCGGCTCTTGCGCGTTTCTTGCCGATTCCATTTTGTGATTAATACGCGCTGCACGCGGCGAAGACGCCGGTCCTATTTGACGACACAACACGCCGCCTACGACAGCGAAAGTGGTTACGTGTTTTGTGCGTGCGCGCAAGCACTCTCGATGTCTTCTTCTGGGCTACCTCGGCCGGTGTCCGGTTTAACTCTTTGTGTGGCACATTTCTTCTACCTAATGGGTTTCTGTGAAATCTTGTATTTCTATGCTCGTTCATTGCATATCTGACGTCAGATCTCAAAATGGCAGATTCAATATGGCTGCCATATAGGGCAGTAAGTTAGCGTAAATCTGAATAAATGTAAATCAGATACACGATATAAAGGTTTTTCAGACCGTTAATTACATTGAATTTCATGTCATATGTAATATTTATCTAAGTTGATTATAAAAAAATCTAGCATGTAAAAAATTTTGAAGAAATATATAATTATATTTTGACACACGTGAAGAATATTCGGTAAAATGTTCAGCTTCTAATCTTAAATACTTTTCAAAAAATTAAATTTTTTGGGGAATTTCGCATTTCTATGTCTTTTTAGTCGCCGAAATTACAAATCTGAAACCAGATTTCAAAAATTCAAAATGACAAAAATTCAATATGACATATAAAGCAGTAAGTTAGCGTAAGTCTGGATAAATTTAATCAGATACACGATGTAAAGGTTTTTCAGATCGTTAATTACAAATCTTATATCAGATTTACAAGATTCACTCAAGTAATTTGTTTGTAAAAAAAACCTAACGTGTGAAAAATCCTGGAAAAAGTGCATATTATATTTTGGCACGTGCAGAATATTCGGTAAAATTTTTAGCCTCTAATCTTAAATATTTTCCAAGAAATTAAATTTTTTTTAATCACTTTTTTCAGCACATTTGTTTGTAAATAATTAAAAATGTACAATCGGATGTAAAAACCGGAAACGTGTAAAGTAAGTATTCACGTGTCAGAAAAATGCGAGATGCTTATCTCCACTAAACAGTACATCGTAAAAACGGAAGATAAAAAGGTGGCAAGTATATACCCACCACTTTGCCGCACAAAGCGATAAAGCGCGAATCCGCGCATTGAGATTCGCGCGGCGCACTTCGCCGTCCGCACGCGAATGACGAACGTCTTTATTATTCGCCTTATAAACCACGCTCGATGACTCGCGTTTTTTTTTCCTTCACGGTAGGCCAGGTACCCCGAAGTAGAACGACAATGGGAAAACGATCGCGCCGTCCTAGATCGCTCGAGCTATGCAAAGTTCTCCAGCACTTTGAAGTCCCCCGCTGCTTCCATACAGTGAGTGTCTTCATTAGTCGACGACTGCTGCGTCGACTAATTTCACTTCTTATCCGCGCTGTAACGCTCCCTCTTGGAAAAGTGACTTCCAATCGGCGATCAAAGTAAAAGTCGGTACAGCGATGCGATTCCGCTGAATATTCGCGGCGGAATATATAGGAGCATTTAGCATACAGTGGTGAATTAGATATGCTCGACAAAGCCGTGCGTATCCCAATAAGGAAAACGCAGAGGCGGTGAATGAGGAGGAGAAAGTTTTTATATTCTCCGAGATGGAGGCGACGCGACGCGCGTGGGTGCGAACCGTTTCACCCGCAAGTTCGGCAAAACAAATTTCACATTTCTTCTGCGTAAGCCGGCTATCCCAATTTGTGACAAATTTTGTGCAGCCGTTTTCCTCGGTGAATCAGCTAATATGTGGGCATTTGCTTTAAACAACGTAAAAATAATGAGACATTTCTCGTGTGACTTGATCCTTTTTAACGTTTATTCGTCAGATTCGTAAAGTTATTTTCTTTCTTAAGGACCAAACTGGTCGGTGAAAACAAAAAACTAAACCGTCGTGTCATAAAATGGTGCTTCGGCCTAATTTCTGAGAGAATATTATAAATAAATTAAAATCATCCCGTCGTTAAAATTAGGAATATGTGACACAATCGGGATCGGAAATATTCGAGCTTTTCAATCAAATCAGATTTTTTCATTTAGCTCAACACGTATATCATGAATTTATTAATTTACTTTCGCGATGTGGTTACTAGGTCGTTAATTGGGACATTCCTGTGTGTGTATGCGTCTGTAGGTAAATATTTTTGCAGAGGCACACATTCTCGTCTAAGAGATACATCGAGAACATATTTTCGGCCGATGCAGGCCATCCGTCGGACAAATGGCAATGCGCATGAGCATTATTGCCGTAGCCAGGCTGTAATCAATAAAATCTATAATAACCACGATTGTTTCTCGTTATAAAAACGTTATAAAAACATGGGAAAATGTATCTCTCTCCCAGATAAAAACGGTCGAGTTTTCATTAAACAACAAGCCATTCGACTCATCAAACACGAGTCTCCACCTATTGATCCGTTTTATTTTCCTATTTTTTTTTAATTTACATTCGATCCGTAATTAAAAGCATGTCATTGTTATTTCGAAAAATTGAGCATCATATAAAGGGGCCTATTTGGTGCACTTTACATTCAATCGCTCTGCGCCTGAGGGTATCGCGGTGTATCTAACGAAATAATTCGCGCACGTTAATTCGGAATTGTTTAGAGAAAAAAAAAATTATTAAGGCTTTCGTTTCGTTGCCGCAGCTATTTTGACTGTCTTTTGAAAAAGCTTTTGCTCAGATACACGCGCTGAAAATTCTTTCAAAGTACGTGGGAATAAAAAGATATATCCGTAAAATGACAAGTGCAGTCGATCGAGCAGATGTGTAAGACAGTCTGAAAACTTTCATTTTAACAATAAATAAACAACCGTAAAACTGTCACGATCAGATTATGAGAAAAGTTAGGTTAAAGAAGTAGGTCGCGTGTCATTTGATTTTATTTATCGATTGTAGGAGCAAGAGAAAAATTGTCGGCTTAACAGGAATGCGATCAATTGCACTGGTCATTTCACGAATGCATCTTCTTACTTCGACGTATTTTGCGAGAATTTTCAGCGTGTTTTTCCTGACCAAGAGAGCTTTAATTATTAGGTGTCTCCTCGCACACAGAGAGAAAAATGACTGAATGAGCCAACTTTCTGGCGAGATATAACGATTGAAAAAACCGGGATTCTATTTAAGTTGGCCCGAAGAAATCCTGATATGATCCGGAAAGAAAATTCCGACAACTTCAACCGGGATTTCTGAATTGTTCGCCAGGAAATTGCTTCATTCACAACGAAGCATTTTTCTCCTCGTATTCTCCGAATGATATTCAATTATCGCCCTCAAGCTCACAAAAAGTTTTCTTTTCCGACGGTATCGCGGTTTCTACGCGATATGAGCTGTTAGCTAATGTTAAAACGACCATCTAGCTGAGGCAATACACACCTGATCGTTGTTTCCGGATGCACTCGCACTCGATAAACTGATTTTCTCGAGCGGCTCGCGACGTCTTATACGCGGACTCTCGCTCTCTAACCGAACACTTTCTCCCTGCACTACGGCCAGGTGTCTGTGCTTTTACTCAAGTGCCTCGAATCTTATATACACGTGACTTTCGGGGATGCTGGACCGTCAAGGGTGGGGTACGTCCGTGACTCATTCGGACACATCCGTCTTCTTCATGACGCTCTTTGACGCAAACGACGTAATCTCGAAAAAGCAAGCAGCTTCGGCGAAATTGCTCCTAACGTCGTGTTTATTTTTTTCTCTTTCTTCTTCTTTTTTTTTCTTTTTGAAACACACGAACGAATGCGCCGAACTCGCGGAACAGTGCTTCGTTTTTTATCGCCGTTACAGTTCCACCCTCATTTTTTCACTTGTACGAACTGTAATTCGTATTCCAACTGTGCGCAAACACGCCGCGCGCGCGAGTCGTTGCACGGCAGCCGTGCTTTAAATTATGGTTCCTAAAGAGCCGCTGGTATTTAGGATATTTATTTTATTGGAAAGTAATAAACACGGCCACGCGGATAATCCAATAAACGCCACCGTGATATCGTACGTATGAAATTTCTATCGAGAAGGTAATTTGCTCATGTCGGAAAGAAACTCGCTTCGAATAATTTATTGCACACGAAGATTTGACAAATTAATCCAACGACAACGAACCGAACAAACACACTTTGGTTGAGGGAAATTGAATTTCCAACTCCTAGAACCGAGAGAATTCGGTCCGCGAGAACGAGAAATTTTGCTTCCTTCGATCCAAATGCGTCTGGTTCGTTGTTCATCCTCGCGTTAATTCAACCGGACTTTTTCGCTCGTGTGTAAAAATAAATCGATCGCAGATGCAGTTCAGATAATTTTCATCGAGTTTACTTCAACGCGTTGGCTGCTATGGAGGTGATCGACGCTGCAACATCTCACTAATTTATAGTGTAGAACGTAACCGGCTGCTTATCACAGATTAAATATAGAAAGATATTTGAAGACTTTGATGGTGTACAACCAGCGAAAATGAAAAGCTAATAAGAGCTCGTCATCGTTGGTTGTTGGGATATGATAAATTAAATTTCCAGCAGAAGGATTAATATAATATACGTTTTCCCCGACTTTCAATGCAGGAGAGTATGTATCGCATAGAAACTATCTACCATGTCAAACTAACCCTTTAATCAGTAGTTAATTCGTTAAATATTAATTAATCCTTTCCATAAATTCCGCGAATCCTATAGAATATTTTAATAAAAGTTGTAAAAAATATTGCCTCGTATACAGCCAGTTGACGAATCTGCACCTTTCGTCGAGAAAAATATATAAAATAAATATTTAAATATATCAAATCATATTGATATAGAATAAACTAAATACAATATTAAACAATATAAAATGGTTTTGTTAATAAGTAAATAATTTATGAAAAATAAATTATTAAATATTTTATTATTTTATCAATTCTATTTATACTATATTTAATTTTATATGATAATTAATATTTGATTCACTAATAAATATATTTTATTTTGTTTAATCATAATATGCATACAACTTCATTTATTTATATTTATTTTATTATTACTAATTTTTTTATATAATTAAATGTTATATAATATCATAGTTACACTTTTTACTGTATCTTTGACGAATCAAACTGTCAAACATAATTGAATCAATCAAAGAAATTAATATTAAGTCGGTCGAAAAGAGTCTTTTCTGATACGAATACGAAACCAAGAATTGATTTGAACAAAACGGCTTTTACAAGAGAAGAATACGTCGGCCAATAAAATACGAGTTCTATGGAACGACTACTAAATCAAGGACAGAGGAGGTTTTCAACAAGGGGACATGTTAAAACATTACGTCATCTCGCACGCGCGCGATGCGACCGAAACATAATTAAACGCGAGTTTGCAAAATTTTTCATGCAAATCGGTTAAATTCCCGCCAAGCTGCTCTCTTCGGTGCTTTGCATGGGGGGGAGGGGGAAGAGGTGTAAAGAGGCGGCCAGGACGATGGTGTGATTTGCATCGACGGGATCCTTCGCGAAATTGGCTTGCCACATTGATTCCCGGAGAACACGGGTTGCTTCTTCCTGCGGATCCGGCTTTACGTAAGAGCGGCACGCTCTCGACGCGCCAGGACACGCCGCCCCCCCCCTTCGCTCAGCGCTTTGATGCTCACTGTTACTGTCGCTGAATGAATGAACGAAATTGACTTACATCACTTGGCCGTGCGCAGGGGTCAACGAAATCATACAAGTTTGTCCATTATCGCCGGCACCGCCGAGATCCGATCGCCGACGGCGGCGGCCGGGGGGAATCCAAGAATGCGACGGCATTGATGTCGCAAACGAGCGCTCCTCGAAAGTGACGTGTATCTTATAAATCGTTAACCCAGATCCTTCTCACGGCGACGTTAATGTCTCTAATCAAGCCAAACCAATTGATCACAGCCGCGGCTTTCCTAGTCGGCTCTTTCCTTGAGACAGAGAGAGAGAGAGAGAGAGAGAGAGAGAGAGAGAGAGAGAGAGAGAGAGAGAGAGAGGGAGAAAGAGAGGCAACGACCGAGAGATGCACGTCGAAAAAGACTAGTCCCTCCGCTTTCTTCCACGTTCGAGCCGGCCGCAGCGCATCGACCTTGACTTCCTTGGATCATCGCGTCCGAGATGGGACGGTAATTTTCACTCTCGGCTGAGCGAGAAGTAGAAAGTGACGAAGAGAGGCGCACACGCCGCCGCTGCGGAGAAAACATGGAAGGAAATTCCCCGAAAAATAACGACCGAGCGATTACGAAACCCGCCACGCACGTGAGCGCTCGCGAGGCTTCTTCCGAAGGGCGGTTGAACGACCGACCTGTCGTCAAATTGAGCCCACGCCCTCCCTCCTCCCCCCTTCCTAGTCCCCCAACCGCTTGTCGAGGCACTCAGGATCCGGGAGAAAGTATGCTCCTGTGTTCCAGAGGGTCGATTGCGCGAGTGAAGTTTTCCGCCGCTCGGAGTCTCGCAGGAACGTCGCCCGATCGAATCCCCGTGCACCTTCGCCAAGTCTCGCGAAAGTTCCGTGCGATTTCGACAAATTGCGTGAGAATTTTCAGTTTCCGCCGCTCCCCAGCTGCCTCCGCGTTCCCCTCGAGGGAGAATCGTCCGGGCGCCGCGGAATTGGAAGCAGATCCTCGTCGTCGTGGACCTCGCCTTTCTTGTCACGTATCAGTGATCGACCGACGCCTTCGTCGGTTTCCCTTCACGTGACGTCTAATGTCGCGGTTACGTAACGGGCTTTTCCACGAGCTTTCGTAACACTGGGGAATTTCTTGTTGCGTGGCCGGGCGCGCTAAGTCGCGCGTGAATCGTCTTGACCCAATTCGGATGCGCATTTCCCGCGGTCGCCGCAATGCAAACACAGACGGCGCGCGCTCGCGAACGATGTGAGTTATACCGTCGCGCAACGTCAACGTTTGTGCTCGCGCGCCTTGAGGGATAGGTGGGTTTTTTTATTCAGCGATGAATTACATCAATGCGTTTTTATTTGCAGTGCTCAACTCGTCACATATCCATTGGATCGTCTATCACTTTGTCGATGGACCGATGAAATTTCTGATTGGATACGGAGGGGGGGTAACGAAGTACAATCGAACCGTATTGAGAATTTTTTTTTTATTAAGTTGTTTGCCAGGTTCACATCGGTGAGATATGTGCCAAGTTTATTTCGATTATAAATATATATTATGTAAAAATAATATGTATATAACAAAAGAAATATTTATAATTACTACCCATAATTTTGTAGAATTTGCAAAATCTGGCTTTCAGAATTATATGCAAATATTAAATTGTTGATATTTGCCAATCATTTATACGTACTTATTCATCCAAAAAAAGTAACAAGCGGGATCATTTAAATTTCAGAACAAGCGGGATCATTTAAATTTTAGAGGATTTTATTCCTATATGTGACCTCAAGAGGATTCCTGAAAATTAAAAGGAAAATATTATAAACACATTATTCTTAAAGTTAGAGGGATTATATGTTACATGTATAATGCAAATCTTATTCATTTTAATATAAATTTCCTCTTATACACAGATTGTTTAATCTTTTTTTAAGAGGATTATTATTTATTCTTACTGTACTTTATTCTTACTGGTTATACTAGTCAATTTGAAAAAATTATTATAATGTACAGCGAAAAGTAATAAATATATAGATGTACTTCTGCCTCCAGTTCTACAATAAGTAGGCACGGATGAAATAAGATCATCATAAGAAATAAATTTCCAATCAGTCTTGTTACAGATTTCATAGCTATAAAGATGTTCATCATACCAATTGTACGAGACATAGTTAAAAAAAAGAATATATTATTCAACTGCTTGCTACAGATTATAAACCGTATTTGACCAAATGTGGGTAAATTATCTTCGTTATATGTTACAGCAACACACATATCTTTTTTAAAAAGAGTTCCATATATTCTGACTCATGAGCATATGATTATTTTTTCATTCATGTCTGGAGGTACTGCATGACTGAACAAAAGAAGCCGACCTTCAAATCAACCTATTCGTCTTCATATAAGAAGATAATTAATTGATACAAGAGAAAATCCTCTTGAAATAAGAGGAAAACAGTTAGAATAATATCTAATAAATTTTAGGTGAATGATTCACTTCAATCGCTTTATCGAAAGAGGAATCCTTTTTCTGTAAAAGGCTTCGCTTAGAATATGAGAGGCTATGGGAAAAATTACTTCACAAATAGAATACTTTCTTTTGGGCGTTATTGACTTCAGTTGAATCCATTTATTAAACCGTTCTTAAAAGTATATCATATCAGCATCCACCAGAGACGCCATATTGTCGTTGGTCAGATGAATATGCGATTGATATGCTGAATTAAAAAACCTACCCGATCTCTACCGGGTGCCGGTGAAATGTTGTAACGTATTACGTCGTAGAAATTGCCCGGGATACTTGGGTTTTCCCGAATCGATCGACGCCCGCCGCCGCGCACAACGGCGATTTCGTGATAAAAATTACTGCGGAATCTCGCAAGCGAGCAGCGCGTGTC